CTGGTGTATCTAGTGAGCGCATTTTTTTCATTTATATGTTATAGCTCAAGTAAACACCCAGGCTTTCGGCCTTACAATTTATTTATTTACTTATTCATTTATTTATTTACCACCTCAAAGATGAAAGAAGTAAAAAAAAATACATACAAAGAACTACACACATAATATACACGTAATAATACTGTATGTGCATAATCGAATATTGTACTAGTACATGCATTACGGCAATAAATTTTATCACTTCTCTAAAATTTCCCATACTATATCCCAAAGATTAAGTTTCATTAATTTTAACATTAAGTCCGCCTGTAGTTGTATGGCAAAACACTACTATACAGTACGCCAGTACTTAGTGTGTTTACCGCGCCCGTCATTAAGGCATTGTGTAGCCAATGGGGCAAGGACGGCTGCATGGAGAGATCGTAAATAGAGATTACGAGCGACCACCATAGATGGGTGTTGCTGTCCACTCGGGACAACCTAAAAACATCTGCAAAATTATCAAGAAGATTACGATAGCTGCTGCCCACAAAAGGAGGGCAGTTGGTGTGGGTTGGTGGTTTGGGGTACATTTTGGTGCCAATAGCAAAAAAAAGCAAAGATAAGTAAACACATATTAACTGTGGGTACATGTATAAGGTCAATTTGCAACCAGATAACATTAACGTTTTTTTTACATCGTGTCGCAGTTCAATGACCTCTGTTAAGGAACGCAGTGGTCAATTAAGAACCACTAAACACCGTGCCCATCACAAAATTGGCCCATTAAGGAAACGACCTCTATCTTCTATTATCGTTTCTATCATGACAAACTATGATTAAAAATCACAAAGACCTGCTGGACTATCTAACGAACTAAAGGACAATAAACATAGCCCTGCAACAAATTGATTTTCTAATGACTTATTTTAACTACTGTACCAACAGGTTAAACTTACCAATGGATTTTCAACTAAAAAACCCAACCTTTTCCGACACGCGGAAGACCTCCAAACGTTTCCACCAGTCATCCATTCTATCAGTTTTCAGGATACCCAGTTGATGCCCAGTTGACTAGTGTGCTGTTATCAGTTAAAATGCCGTATTGACACAGGTGTCATGTACCAGAATGTCCCCGTGACACAGAGTCCGCTTCCTTTTACTTTGTACAGATGAGCCTCACCCCAGATTTTTACCCACTTAGGTCAGACTAACCCTAACCATTATAACTATTTGGTTGGCAGACTTTCTGTCACACGGACCCTCAGTTTCGTGAAAATGTCATGACCTGCATATGGATATAATATGTGTCAAACATCCCTTGTAGTCATGCAGGGGAAATACGAATAGGTAGGCATAAATGGGACAAATGTATACGGGTCGAGACTCAGCTTGTTTTTTATGTGAGTTTCTTTTCGGATCAAATATGGCGCCGCTCACTTGAAAGCGTTCCTAGATTTTATTACTCCGCCCCTGCTGGGATGGCGCGCGCGGGAGGCGGGAATCCATTGTCATTTTTCTTTTAAGTCATAAAGACCTTAGTCTCATTTAGTTTTAAAGAAAACATAGCTTCTTTGTGTTTGTGAACATTTCGCAGCATAAACGAAATTCTACGGTTTTGCAATAAGCAACCGACTTGAAATAAAAATGATTATCCGAATCATTGATCAGTGTACTACAGTGTGACGTAATTAGGAACTTTTGGTAATCATTTAAATTATAAGCGTCATCTTCTCTGTGATGGGGGAATGCTTAGAACCTGTTCGTCTAGTCCAAAATGTAAACATTATTTTTTTTTTTCATTTTTTCATTTCTGAAGCCCATCGAGATCTGCGCAGCATGCGCCTACAAGTAGCCAAATGGGCCACATTCAGTTACCCTACAAATATTTAAGTGCATATAACTGTAACTCTTTGTATGTGTATCTTTCTATCTCGCTGTCTCTCTATGTATTTTCTTTCTCCATGTGTCTCTCTCTGTCACCTGTTTTATACTTTATCTAAATTTCCATTTAAAATTAACTTCCATACGTGACATGCTAGCTGCCACGCTTATATATATATAACTAACTTGTACATAAATTTGATAGCGTCCATCAATTACAGAGTGCACAGAATTATCTTTTCTAGCTTACAGATTGAAGATTTAAAATAACATACTATTTTCCATCAGTTACAGATTGCATTTTAAAGTGAATTTTAATTTAAATTGTGTCTGGTTATATCTTAAAAGCTTACATCAATTATCATAACTATTAAGGGTTCATTACAATGTGTATAAATTCAAGAGTGTATTGCGCTCCTACTGCGGTGCATCAGTATCGATTACATGATTTACATAGATTTTTCTTAAATACAAATTACGTAGACAATATTGGTTTTGATTATTAGTTACAATGGTTTGAGATTGACTACGTACCGCTGGTACGGCGCCCGCCACTTTCATATGATGCAAACTAAGCTTGCTCGAAATCTTTAAGCTCTATACTTCTTTACTTCTATGTGAACGTTTATGTAGGATTTGCACAATTAAAAGAACATTTCTTTTGTGTCAATGTGAGCATTATCACAAGGAGCACTGACATATGCTCAGGTATGATGCTTGTCACGTACTACGATTCTTATCCAAAGATAGTTGCGAACATATATTTTTGAGATCAAATTCTATGGTCAAATTCAATTATCAATTCAAGCATCTCTATTTGCAACAATTACGATAGTTTTAAAGTTATACACAATAAGCGAGGGCAGATGTAACGCATGCAAATCACTCCGTGGACATTAGCCATCACTAATGTATGTCATCAGAATGTTTCATTTGTAACTTTACTTGACGTGGTACGATGAATAAGGAAATGACAAACTCAGTAAATATCTGCTGAAAACACATGCAAAAGTCTATTGCCTTTTAGGTTCAGAATTCAGGCCCGGTGGGGGGGGGGGGGGATTCGGGGGGTTCGAAAGAACCACCCTTTTTGCTGGGAAAAGGTCCACTCTGGGTAAAATTTGATCTATGTACTTGAGGATTTTACGTTAAAAGGTCCACTTTTTCAGAAAACGACCCCCCCCTCTGAGATTGCTGGCTACGGGCCTGGAATTTTTTGCTTACGGGGCATAATGAACTGTTAATGACTTAATTTTCGGTGGATGTTTTCTATCTCAAAACAAATAAATTTGACTTTTAATGGTCTTCTTTAAAAATCTCTTGATCTGATTTTGATTTGACGATGAGGTTGGTCCCGGGGTGTAGAAGAGACGAACTTTCTTTCATTTTCAGGCCTTCTAAATCCATGTCGTCTGCCTGCCATTTCATTTGTCCTGTCTCTCTGTCGCCAAGAATACATCTGGCTGTCTGGTCGCGAGTCGATTTCAGGAAGGAGACCAAATCTGAAAACAAGTAGGTTCTAAATATCTATGTTACTGTATTCAACCAAGATCCTCTGTCGTCAATATCAAAAGCCTTCATGAAAAAGTGTAAAAAGAATGGGGAAGAAAATACTAAAGACATTGCACCAGCCCAGCCGTTTTTTTTCTCTAGTTCAAAGAATACATGAATGATAATATCTGTCATCTTGTATGAAGTATTACTCTGTTTATTATTTGTTCAGCATGAGCGTTGTTTACGTTTCCATTCAATTTACTTACATGTCCCGCCTGCTCCTTGGGCGTCCGTATTATTACTAGACTTTCCATTTTTCTTGTACGACTGCAGTAAAACATATCTACAAATGTGATAAAGTGATACGTTACAATAACTGTTATAATTATAATTAATTATGTATACATAACATAGCTGACGAAACCCTTTGCTAAATGGGGCAAAGCTTTTGAATCATATTGAGATTTCCCCTTCTTTTTTATCTAAAGTCAGTTTAAAAGTGGATTTGTTTCAATTTTCAACTGTGTACGTTGTTAAGTCGAGATCAAGTTATTGATTCGAATCTTATATTGTGAATCACTTTTAAGGAATATCAGAGAATGAAGAATGTGACCACTCCTATCTGGCCGCTGTTTTCGCTAACTACCCTCACGATTTTTTCATCAATGAAAATGATTCAGACTGACTTCCACGCGATCTTATTTGACTTTACAATAAATGAAACGGTTGGTTTTAAATATTTAATATTCAAGTAAGGCCTGATACCTACTTAACAGTAACCGTAAAGTGGTATGATCGAAACTCGGTAAGTGCTTGGATGCATTTGTTGTATGCTTTCCGTACACCATCGTCGCGAGATAGTCTCACTAAAAGGAGCAATAATCAAATATTTATCGAACCATATATTTAACTCCAATTTTATTTACAATGAGGAATAACGTCGCAGAACAAACACAGAATCAATTGCAACAGCAAAAAAAAAAAAAAAAAAAAGGCGGTAGAATGGAGGTGGATTGGGCATGTAAGCAGGATGGAGAAAACAGCAATTCCAACAGAAGCATTCAGATGGGCACCGGGGGGAATAAAAAAAAAACACAGAGGAAGATCGAAAGAAACATGGACCCCATTCCCATAGATTTTAAATCGATCTATCCCTGTGGGGAGTGTCACTAGATTACTGTCAGCTTAGCCGGCTTAAGCGTCTGTCCCGCTTACTAAAAGCTGTAAGGAGGTCATTAACTATGGTGCGCGCTCGGCTGACTGCAATTTAGCGTGAACCCCCAGGGAGTTAGGTCGATCTAAATCTTAATCTCTGGATCGATCTAAGGCTTCGTTCACATGGAAAGTCTATTTTCTAAAAATCTATTTTCTATTTTATGATCACGGTCTGTGCCCTGAATATCCCGCGGCGTAATTACTGGCAGCGCGAGCCAGTTACTTATACAAAGCTGTAATTAATTATCGGCTGTGTTCGCATTCTATAAAATCTCATCCTCTGTTGCCGCATCGCTCGCCATCGGATCATGACGGTTGCACTCATATCTGTCGTGTGTATAGCTTCTTCATCTTCTTCGTCTTGTTGTTGCACAAAATCGACAAACACATTTTTCAAAGCAACCGCGACCGCCATTAACTTTCTAACTTCCTACTGCGCATGCGTCAAGGTAGCAGAATTTTCTCCGAGCACAGCCGAGAATTAATTACAGCTTTGGAAGTAACTGGCTCGCGCTGCCAGCAATTACGCCGCTGGATATTCAGGGCACAGTCCGTGATCACAAGATATACCGCGAATAGAAAATAGAATTTTAGGAAATTGCGCCCATGTGAACGAAGCCTAAATCTCTGGAAATGCACCCATGGAAACGATGCGTTGAGAAGATGAAACAACAAGGATGGACGTGGGGACAGCTTGAGGGTTTATGTCGCAGACAGACAACACTGGCAAGCTCTGGTGGATACCTTATGTGCCACATCGACCAGCTTACAAGCTAGCTGGCCAATAATGACACGTGTTAATTTAAGGTTTATTCCACCCACCGTGATTTCTGAGAGAAGGTCCGTTTTCTATGGCGTTCAGAAACTCTCTGTGACCTGCAGGCATATATTCTCTTATTTTTCTGAGATATGGAACTGCTTCTAGATTGAAAAAGTCATTAAAGGGTTACAAATTTCAAAACTGCAGATTTATACTCTCTCCCTCTTTACCTAATAATGCCAGTTGGCAAGCAAATTTATTAATATCAATTCAAACAAAAAAATGCTGACCTCATTTTATCGATAGGTTTTTTTGTATCGTTTATTGCCCTCCCTTATCTGCGTATTTCGAATAGTCATGCACATAACTTTAACCAAAATTTAAAAACTTCAAAAAAATCTTTATCTTAAGTGGACGTTATAAAGTTTGTTTTTCAAAATTTAATTCGCACGTGCTCATTAGCTGATACAGTATAGTACTAGTCCATTACCTGCCGTGTGTTTAACCCCTAGTATGGCGTCAAAGGTCTGGATGGTTGAACTCTGGGCGGCGCTCCCTCCCAAGTACTTTAAAAAATAATAATCATTTTATACTTATATCAAGATCCTGTTTCAGCAAAAAAATCTGTGATGAGTCTAAAATGTAGTTGATTAACATGTAACGAAGCCTAGTACACTGTTGACGGTAGTCAGCCAAGTGCATGTTTACTTAACAGACAGGCCCGTAGCCAGGGGGGGTTCGGAGGGTTCGAAAGAACCGCCCCTTTTGCTGGAAAAAGGTCCACTCTGGATATTTGATCTAGGTACATGAAGTTTTTATGTGAAAAGGTCCACTTTTTCAGAAAAAGTACCCCCCTTTTGAAATTGCTGGCTACGGGCCTGACAGACAATATAAAATTTTGGTTTTGCTCTCTATTGCCTGCAGTCCTTCCTCACGCGCTGTTCATTATACCAAGGCCACAATTAGATATTTTTCACCAGATATTTACATATATTTTCTACACAGTTTTCTGTTTGCATATAAATGACATAAACATTCTGCTGTCCCTGGAACAGAGCACTTCAAAAGGAGGGAGACATTTTTCCACGACATAATTTTCTCTACTGTACTTTTCGTCTCACTAAAAGAGAATGAATTGAGAAAAAATAAAGAATGGAACATATTGCGTTCAAAAAGTGACTTGCGTCAATGGAGTTAATCGGGAGACAAATCCGCCAGGAGTCGCTGGTGTTCTGGTTGGTATAAATCCATTACGCATGCGCTACTTACTTGTAACGGTGAATCGCTGACACCTTCGTATATCAGTCCTTCCGGGAGAAATTTGCTTTGTGCTCCCCAGCTGCAAAATTGTATTATACAGTGTACACGTGGGTCAACATGAACATTTTTTTTTATCAGAGAAGAAAATTAAAACATTTTACGACACAACTCCTAATACTTCGCCAGAGACGCGCGGATTCGCAAAAAAAAAAAAAAAAAAAAATAATAATAATAATAATAATAATAATAATAATAATAATAAATAATAATAATAATAATAATAATAATTAAAAAAAACAAATTCATTAATTTACGATGTATTTATCATAAAAATATTTTCGTGTTACCAAACATTCAAGACTTATATTACCCTTCGAAAAACGGTCGGAGTTTATTATAAAAAGGCCAAGGGTCTTGTTTTTCTGTAAAAAAAATGAAAATACTAGCAATTAAGGCGTATGATAACTATATATTCATTATAATTCTTGTAGAATCCTGGGATTTTAATGTGTCAGTTACTATTATGTATATTATGCCTGCGTTTTACTGCCGCTCACTATAATCACTTGATATAAAGTGGCCACGAAGGGCAAAGTCACAATTATTTGTACTGAAATAGAAATAAACCTATAAACACTTAAGTCCCTACAATTTTTTAATCCACATACACAAAGCAAAAACAAACACAAACTAATTTGCTACTGCTGAAATTTTGATATCCAAAATAAGTCACCACAACTGTATTTCTAGGTCTCTGATTCATCAGTTGCAAAGCTCCATTTAAACAATTTTCTTTTAACCTCTAAATGTGTACTGTTTCATGTTCTTGTATAGACCTATATCAGAAGAATCATCTTGATGTGAATTAAAGTTCACTATTTTTGATACAATATTATAAAACAATTAAAAATACTTTTAATTCTTTGAAAGGGTAACGTTTTTTAAGTTTTGAATATTTGAATCGTCAAAAAGTAACGATAAATTACTTACCACTACATGCATTTGTTCAACAGAGAGTGTGTCTGTGTGTGTGTGTGAGAGAGAGAGAGAGAGAGAGAGAGAGAGAGAGGACACACATCTATACCGTGCATTCTGGACAGTGTTTGTTGCATCCTCTTAATGGTGTCAGCAATCCCTTGCAAACCTTCTATCAAACCGTTGTCATCACCTGTTGTCAGTGCCTGATATGTTTTAATTATATCCTGAAATTTAAGAAAAACAATTACAGACATCTGTTGTCAGTTGTTAGTGGCATATCGTCCTAAGTTACGTCGTCTGTATTCTCGTCTTTAGACAAGTCCTTGTTTACAAATACAGGTATGGACATTTCTATCTATCCTTCCCATTCAACGCAACTGGTGAACTCTAATCTCGGTAGCGGTCTCCGTCTGCGAGACAAGTTTTGTATCTTTGCGCGTGTTATTCAAGTTATTCAATTAAGAGAGTCATGTTTGAAAAAATTCTAATAATTTACGGATGGTCCATTTTGTCAAGTTAAATCTATGTATATAACAGTGGGGATCCTTATGTTTACTCCTGAAGTGACTAAGCTAGAAAACGGGGCCACTACCCCAAACGTAAATACCTTGATTCCCTTGCCAAAGTCAATTTCGATTTGAATTGAAACTATGAAAAACCAGTCGGTGTGGGGAGTGCCGGGCGCGCCGCAAATAAGTTCAATATCGCTGGAATGAGATATTAAAGAATAAAAAAAAAATTGAGGTTAGCAACGCTAAAAATATATTTATGTACATTCATAAAGGTAGAATCATATCATCGCAAAACGCTGTTAACGCCCACAGATTTATTACGAATCAGAGAGCAATGTGTCCGATACCACTAGTATCCAAAAACCACTAAACTCGAAGTCACGAAGACAGGCAAACATTAAGTGCGTGTGTCTTTAGCTCAAAGACGACGGCTTTGGTTAGGTCTAAGAACTGTACAAAATTAGGTCTAACCAGCGCCACATCAAGTTGTTAATTTGGGCGTTCGTGTTCACAAACCTGAGGCTCGTGATGGCAAACAGCAATTTTTGTTTACGGAGCCTACGCTTAAAATATGTGTTTATCAAATGAAGTTCACTTTGGCACTAACGCATACCCACAAAAGACGTAATCAATAAAAATAGATGATGTTGAAGATTATTGTGAAGTAGAGACAAACCAGCTGTCTTCCGATTCCTTTTTCCAGTTAGCAAGCATACATGCCAAGTAGCAGTAGACGGGGTTAAGTCCTAGATACTGGGACACGTGATACCATGGTACAGCGACAGCCCTCGGAAGAACCTGCAATATATATATAAACAAAAACAAATATTTATATACGCACAAGTCTTAGGTTGCATTCAGAAGAGATGATTCTCGGATATACAAGTCAAGTCTGTAATATAATATAATATAATATAATATAATATAATATAATATAATATCTTTATTCATACGATGGTTCAAGATAATCCAATGTTTAATATAATCATACCTCAGGTACCACGCCCTTATCTCTGTCCTGCCAAACATAACAGTGTGCAATTGTAGACAGCAGGCTGTGGGCTAAACAGTATTCTTCATAACTCCTCAGGTGAGTGTAGTCCAGACATGGTAACTGAAATAAAATGGCGAGTTTGAAGTTAGAAAACCTAAGCTTAGAGTCATGGCTGGAAAAATGGGAATAACAGGTGTGAGTTTATACAGTTACACTTCCAAACGAGATTAGTACAGAAACCAAACTGAAAACTGGTTCATGGATGATATAGTGTTACCTCTACAAAAGCATTTCAATGAAAGGTTTTACGACAACAAATCTCTCTCTCTCTCTCTTTCGGTACCTTTTCAACTTGGTCTTTCAGTTCTCCTGCATCCATCAACTTGGCAGCTTTCTTCCCGAGCTGCTCCCAAGGAAGTAAATATTCTGGCAGGAGGTCCTGAAACAGAAGGGTAGAAGGCGCTATTTATTTATTAACCCCATAGCGCCGGGAACCGCACATATGCGGTTTCTGTGTTTACATGCTTGTACTGTCCCCTGTCGTTTGTAACAATTCATGCTTCTATCACAAGAATAACTTAATGTTAGTTTTTTGTTAACTACCGGCTTTTGAAAGACGTGTAGCGAGAATTAGATAATGAAAAAGCGATTTATTTCAACCATTGTCGAGACGCTAAGAAGTCAAAATGGCGATGAGAAGTCAGCAGAAATTATGGGTTGAGAAATGTTCTAGATTTGTTAGAAAATTCAGACTCCGGGGAAGCGTCCTTGATAGATTTTGATACTCCGATAACTTCAAAGATTATGTACCTTTGGCTAGTATGAGTTGTCAGAGAGCAGATTTGGACGTGGGGCTTGATTTATAAAAAACGCTGATGATACTAACGGCAGTAACCAAGCAGACGACAATAGTAATTGGAAGGGCTATATTGCTGATAAAATGACTGTAACCGTTCCGTGGCAAGTCAGGCTAAATGTTGCCTTGTGTGCTGTATCAACATGTCTTTTCCGGCTTGTGCATAAATACAAATGTCATATGTTACGTTGTACTGCATCAACATGTCTTTTCCTGCTTATGTATAAGTACAAATGACATATGTTTACTTGTGTGCTGCATCAACATATGTCTTTTCCTGCTTGTGTATAAATACAGATGTAATATGTTTACTAGTGCGCTGTATCAACATACTTTTCCTGCTTGTGTATTAGTACAAATGCCACGTTTGCTTGTATTTTTATGATGCAATTTTTATTCACGAAAGTGTAATATTTGCTCATGACAATGTTTGTATTCTTGTATATGATTTGAGTGCAAAACAAAATTTTATGAGTATCCTGGTTCAGTTGATTAAAAAAAAAACTATAGAAAAACTTTTGAAAAAGGCACTTAATTTACAATCTATTTGTAATTATAAACGTAATTGGGTGGAAGTCTTCCAGTCAGCTAGCCCGCCTGTATATTGTTCAACTAGCTGACGTGATGAAGGTTTTTAGGTACAGCACGCATCCCAGGAAATTTATTATAACTCAAAAACTAAATAAGATATCTTTCTGAAATTTTCTGACATTGTTTAAAACATATTTCGAGTGTTTATGAGAAAATTTCAACAAATTATTTGGTAAAGTGAAAAAGAATGTGCATGCTGAAATTAAAGTTTTGTTTTTTTACTTCTCTTCGAGAAAAGCAAGTCTCATATTTAAACTCCTGCTATTTCTACCTAAAATAACAAATATGAATAAAACTGATATGACTTTAAAGCTTACATTGTTGGCTTTCTAAAAATGTACAGTTCTTAGGTGTTTTCTAGACAAGTGAATACCTTATCATTGATTAAATGAGGCCACCTGTAAAATTGAGTGCATCCGGGTAGAGGGCTCAGGACCAAGGGCACTTTCTAGGTCAGATGCTGTCAGGCGCTATGGGGTTAATACTCCACTTGCCAAAGCCTTGATCGCCATTTTAACACTTCTCTTTTTGGAATTTCCACTGGCATCCCCTTTAATTTATACTCTCACAATGCTTGACACAGACGCGTTACAGAGACCATGGTTTGATTTTCGTTTATTTAGGCATAACTTAATTGTGTTGTCCACGTGCATTAGTTTTTATATCAAACTACCGGCACATGTGCATCTAGATGAAACGACAAGTGGCCTAGTTTACTAGGCCGGTGTGAAATGAATGGTAGTCCTAGTAACGCAAGTCACACCGGACACTAAGTTCTGTAAATTCAAGCCCTAGGTCTAGCGTTTCTAGGAATGGATGCCCTAGGACAAGCGTTACTAGGATTTTACGTCCGTGGGACAACAGTTCCTGAGGAATGCAAGTCCCATGGCAAGGAATGCAAGTGCAAGTCCGGATAGGTCCTCCCAGCGGGCAAATCATGTTGTTTCAACGTTGACAAGACGTTGGATTAACAATGGATTTGAAAATTGGATCATCGTCAAATTACGACGTTGTATCAACGTCAGATAACAACGTTTTATCAACCCAAGTTGTTAGACAACATTCTTGCATGAAAAGACATAAAAACGACCTAAAATGTTTTTTATTATTATTCATTTATAAACACAGGTACACAATTATAACGTTCACTGTAAAACAGCGTTTAGCTCCTAAACACATTTCTAATAAACACACAACTAATATATATGTCACAGGCTTAGTACCAATCTGCATTTAGTGTGAATTAACCCTTAAGAAAATGCAGATATTTTTCAAAGAGGTCAACAAAACATTTATGGGCAGAATTTTCCTATAATCTGTACAAAACCTAGATAATTAAAATTTAACATTTCTTTAGTAAATGTTTAAATGTAAACTAAATCAATCTACATGCCTTTTCTTTAAAAGTATCATCCTCGGATGTATTTTGCAAATCACAGGTAATGAAATACAACTATATCTCATTTGCCACACCTGTAAGTATTATAATATGTGCTTTAATCTAAGGCATTCCCTACACATGCCATACAAACAAACTGGCAGCTTGGCCAGTTGACTTGTTCAATTAACTGGTCCATCATGCGGTTGACAATGCAAAGACACCATTAAGACTGGAACCGGTTTCGAACTGGAACAGGTTCTGTCATGGCTATATATACACGCTCAAAATATTCGCCACACGTAATGAAATTGATAGACCTTGTCAAAAATGTCAACTTTTCCTTATTGCACAGTTGTATCATTGTAGACACAAAACGTTAAGTCATAAAGTCATGCAAAAGGAACACGGTTAGGTTAGACACTTCCTGTGGACTATACTCATACGTAGTTATCTAAACATTTAACCTGTTTTAACCACTTCCCTCTTATCGATTTTTCTATTAATATAGGCTCATGCTGAATTTGTTGATACACTGATCATAGGGAACTAAAACATTCAAGGTGTTAACCAGAAACAAGTCGTCGTACAACGTGAGGTTTTTGTCATCCTTACAAATGAGTAGTATTGTAAACATTGTGTGTGGTCTTGGTCTTTTTGCAGAGATGAAATGTCTAAATTGATACAGCAAAGCTGACACTTTAATCATTATTTTCACAAGTCAACAAACCATACTCCATAAGTCTACAAACCATACCCCGGGGTGTGGGGGGGGGGGGGGTAATACCCGCTGTTCACTTTTGGAAAATAATAAAATGACGATCTTGGCATTCAATGGGTGTGCTGGCCAAGGCCATCATATTTAGTTTTTTTTTTATCTTGTACGCTCTAAAGAGCGTGGAAGGGGTCTGTAAAAAGTTTACTCTTTGTAGACTTGTGAAAATGATAAAAATGGATTACCCCTAAACAAATAACGTACTGAAAATATCACAGATAATTTTTGCGCGTGTCGTACATGTACCCAGTATAAAACACAATAATTAAGGAGTAGGCCTAGTCTTATGGCAATTTAAAAAAATCGATCCTTTGGGACATATCTTTAAAATCAAAAGGCCTGATATAACAAGGACAACAATAGCCTTACTAGCAATGATTTTTAATAACATATAGCCAACATGTTACTTACCAATGAGTTTTCTACCAAAAACCCAACCTTCTCCGACACACGAAAGTCCTCCAAACGTGTCCACCACTCATCCACTCTGTCAATTTTCAAGACAAATGCCATACTCTATTCGTTCTTCAAAAGCGTACTTGTTTTTATAGAAAAACAAACGTCTCCTAGTCATTATATGCTTGTATGGTATATATGAATGATATACGCCCAACTTAATGTCCACTCGTGTGATGAAACATATCCGGATGGTCACATTGATGACGTCATTTGCACGGCATGAGGATCACTGAACAATGACGTATTCAAGACTATCCGACAAGCAGTAACGCATTTATGAACAAACTGTTGGGCGACAAAAGTCTCAAAGATTATTACGGGTTAGCCTTGAACTAAAATAGATCCGATTTTTGGTCAAAAGTTAAAGATTATTTTTTTCTTTTTCAAACGGCCACAGTAATTCACCCATGGCCAAACTAAAACATTCAAGGTGTTAACCAGATACAAGTCGTCGTGCAACGTGAGGTTTTACTCATCCTTAAAATGAGTAGTATTGTAAACATTGTGTGTGGTCTTGGGGCGTATTCCCATAGATTTTAGATCGATCTATCCCCGTGGGGAGTCTCACTAGATTACTGTCAGATAATCTGGCTTAAATGTCCGTCCCGCCTACTACAAGCTGTAAGGGGGTAATTAACTTTCGTGCCCGCTCGGCTGACAGCTATTTGGCGTGAACCCCCAGGGAGTTAGGCCGATCTAGTTTAGATCGATCTAATCTCTGGGAATGGGGTGTTGGTCTTTTTGCAGAAATGAATGTCTAAATTGTTACAGTAAAGCTGACAAAGGCGCATATACTAGCAGTTAAGGGTCATCTACTTTGATCATTATTTTCACAAGTCAACAAACCATACTCCATAAGTCTACAAACCATACCCCGGGGTGGGGAGGGGGGTAATACCCGCTGTTCACTTTTGGAAAATAATAAAATGAAAATCTTGGCATCCAATGGGTGTGCTGGCCAAGGCCTCCATATTCAGTTTTTCACCTAAAGAGCGTGGAAGGGGTCTGTAAAAAGTTTACTCTTTGTAGACTTGTGAAAATGATAAAAATGGATTATCCCTAAACAAATAACGTACTGAAAATATCACAGATAATTTTTGCGCGTGTCGTACATGTACCCAGTATGAAACATAATAATTAAGGAGTAGGCCTAGTCTTATGGCAATTTAAAAAATCGATCCTTGGGGACATATCTTTAAAATCAAAAGGCCTGATATAACAAGGACAACAATAGCCTTACTAGCAATGGATTTAATAACATATAGCCAACATGTTACTTTCCAATGGGTTTTCTACCAAAAACCCAACCTTCTCCGACACACGAAAGTCCTCCAAACGTGTCCACCACTCATCCATTCTGTCAATTTTCAAGACAAATGCCATACTCTATTCGTTCTTCAAAAACGTGCTTGTTTTTATAAAAAAAAAAAAAAAAAAAAAAAAAAAAAAAAAAAAAAAAAAAAAAAAAACGTCTCCTAGTCATTATATGCTTGTATGGTATATATGAATGATATACTAGTACGCCCAAATTTATGTCCACTCGTGTGATGAAACATATCCGGATGGTCACATTGATGACGTCATTTGCGCGGCAAGAGGATCACTGAACAATGACGTATTCAAGACTATCCGACAAGCAGTAACGCGTTCACGAACAAACTGTTAGGCGACAAAAGTCTCAAAGATTATTACGGGTTAGCCTTGAACTAAAATAGATCCAATTTTTGGTCAAAAGTTAAAGATTATTTTTTTTTCTTTTTCAAACGGCCACAGTAATTCACCCATGGCCAAACTGACCCCTTTGTTCTTTTTTTTTCAGCATGTGCAGCTGAATTACACATGACATGACAACTGTGAATTCCGACTAAAATGAGGAATAGCAGCTTTCTGACATAAAATTACATATACTGTACACCGTCATACTCTTAGGCTTCATTCACATGCAATGTCTATTTTCTAAATTCTATTTTCTATTCGCGGTATGTCTTATGATCACGGTCTGTGCCCTGAATATACCGCGGCGTAATTACTGGCAGCGCGAGCCAGTTACTTATACAAAGCTGTAATTAACTCTCGGCTGTGCTCGGAGGAGATTCTGATACCTTTACGCATGCGCAGTAAGAATTTAGCAAGTTAATGGCGACCGCGATTGCTTTGAAAAATGTGTTTGTCGATTTTGTGCATATTTCGCGTCTGTATGTTTGAGTCGTCACACCCAAGAAGTTATAAAGAGAAGGAGTAGAAACAAGGGGTTTCCTTTCANTGAAGCCTTAGTTTACTCAGTACTGCTTGCTTTTTCTGTTCGTAAAATGAATGATTGCATCATGGGTAATTTGAAGAAATAAAAGAATCTGATGTATCTAGTGAGCGCATTTTATTTATTATAGTGCCTTGTGTTATATTGCTTAGGTGAACACCCAGGATTTCAGACTTAAAATTTATTTATTTACTTATGTATTTATTTATTTACCGCCTCAAAGATGAAAGAAGTAAAATAATACATATAAGATCACCCGTGTACGTTATAAAAGTATAAAATCATTCTCGTCTTTCATCATGTAGTAATACATGCATTGTGGCAATAAATTTTATCACTTCTCTAAAATTTTCCATAATATATTCCAAAGATGTAGTTTCAACATAAAGTCCCTCTGTAGTTGTATGGCAAAATACTACTCTCCAGTACGCCAGTACTTGGTGTGTTTACCGCGCCATGTCATTAAGGCAGTATATTATTGTCAGTGGGCAAGGACGGTCGCATGGAGAGATGGTTAATACAGATTACGAGCGACCACCAAAGATGGGTCTTGCTGTCCACTTAGGACAACCTGACAAAACATCTGCTAAATTGTCATGAAGATGACGATAACTGCTGCCCACAAATGGAGGGCAATCCCATATTTTATTAGCAGATGACAACGACGAAGGTGTTGGTGGTGGTTTGAGGTACAATTAGGTGCCAATAGCGAAAAAAAGTGAAGATAAATAAGTAAACACATATTTACTGTGGGTATATTGTCAGTTTGCAACCAGATTAAATTAAGTTTTTTTTTTCACATCGTATCGCAGTTCAATGACTTTTGTTAAGGAACGCAGCGGTCATTTAAAAACCACTAAACACCGTGCCAATCACAAAATTGGCCCATTAAGGAAACGACCTCTATCTTCCATTATCGTTTTTATCATGACAAACTATGATTAAAAAGACCTGCTGGGCTATTTAACGAACTAGGACAATAACATAGCCCTTCTAATGACATATCTTAACTACCAACGGGTTAAACTTACCAATGGATTTTCAACTAAAAAAAAACAACCTTTTCCGACACGCGGAAGACCCCCAAACGTTTCCACCAGTCATCCATTCTGTCAGTTTTCAGGATGCCCAGTTGATGCCCAGTTGACTAGTGTGCTGTTTCAGTTAAAATGCCGTATTGACACCGGTGTCATGCACCAGAAAGTCCGCCGTGACACAGTCCCCTTCCCATTACTTTGTATAGGTAAGCCTCACCCTAGATTTTGACCCACTTAGGTCAGACTAACCCTAACCATTATAACTATTTGGTTGACAGACTTTCTGTCACACGGACCCTCAGTTTCGTGAAAATGTCATGACCTGCATATGGATATAATATGTGTCAAACATCCCTTGTAGTCATGCAGGGGAAATATGAATAGGCAGGCATAAATGGGGCAAATGTATACAGGGCGAGACTCAGCTTGTTTTTATGTGAGTTTCTGGAAGCTTTCAAAACCAGTTCTAACTAGTCTGCGGATCAAATATGGCGCCACTCATTTGAAAGCGTGTCGAGATTTTATAACTCCGCCCATGCTGGGACGGCGCGCACAGGAGGTGACAATCCATTGTCATTTTTCTTTTATAATTCATATAGACCTTAGTCTCATTTAGTTTTAAAGAAAAAATATAGTTTCATTGTGTTTGTAAACATTTCGCAGCATAAACGAGATTATACGGTTTTGCAATAAGCAACCGACTTGAAATAAAAATGATAATCCGAATAATTGATCAGTGTACTACAGTGTGACGTAATTTGGAACTTTAGGTAATCATTTAAATTATAAGCGTCATTTATTGTGATGGTGGCATGCTTAGAACATGTTCTTCTTATCCAAGATATTAACATTTCTTTTTCATTTCTGAAGCCCACCGAGATCTGCACAACATGCACCGAAAAGAAGCCAAATGGGCCACATTCAGTAACCCTACGAAGTCAATTGTGTCAATTACCACTGGTCTAAAGTTCCATTTAAAAGTTAAATTACTTGAGTTTGAACACCGTGGAATATGTCTATCCGTGGGCATTATCAAATACTAACGTATGTCAGCAGAATGCTTCGTTTGGAAATTTACTTGACGTGGAACGATGGACCAGGAAGTGATGTAGGGCCTACTCATTTGAAAAAATCAGCTCAAAAGGTATGCACAAATCAAGCGTTTTTTAAAACAGAATTTTTTGCCTATGGGGTACCATGAACTGTTTATGTGCTATGGATGTTTTCTATCTCAGAGAACATAAATTTTACTTTAAGTGTCCTTCTTTAAAAATGTCTTGATTCGATTCTGAGTTGACGATATGATTGGTCCCGGGGTGTAGAAGAGACGGACTTATTTCCATTTTCAAGCCTACTAAAGCCGTGTCGTCTGCCTGCCACGTCACGTGATCTGTCTCGCTGTCGCCAAGGATACACCTGGCTGTCTGGCCTCGAGTCGATTTCAGGAAGGAGACCAAATCTGAAAATAAGGTCAATTATAAATTACTTTATGTTACTGTATTCAACCAAGGTCGCCAATACTAAAGGCTATAAAAAATGAAATAACAGAACTGGGAAGAAATTTGTGGACCCTGCACCATCCCAGTCGTATTCTCCTTTAGTTTAAAGAATATGTGAATAATAATTTTAAACAAAGTATTACTAATGACAATTTTCAATATAGTACCGTATTACCCTGTTTCATATTTGCTCAACGGGAATTGTTGCTTACGTTTCCTTTCAATTTACTTACATGTCCCGCCTACCCCTTGGGCCTCCGTGATATTACTTGACTCTCCATCTTTCTGGTATGACTGCAGTAAAATATATCTGCAAATAAGATATGTCACAAAAAACTTTTACAATTACAATTACTTATGTGTACATAGCATAGCTGACGAAACGAGTTGTTACATGTAGTAGAGATTTTGTTTCATACTGAAAATTACCCATTTTGGCTAATTAATAAGGTCTCTGCATAACCTATAGTCAACCAAATAGTGCATTTCAACTTGAAGTTGCGGATATTCTTTGAATCCAGATATAACTTAATGATAAGAATGTTTTATTGTGACTCACTAATAATGTGTATCAGAGAATTAAAGAATATCACCATTCCAATGTTTCGCGTGACCTTTATCGATTTGACAAAAATGTAACAGCTGGTTTAAAGCACGGATACTAAAGCTTTAGTGCCCGTATTTTTTGTATTGATAACCATATAAGGCTTCATACTTACTTAACAGCAATCGTAATGTGGTATGATCGAAACTCGGTAAGTGCTTGTATGCATTTGTTGTATGCTTTCCGAACACTATCGTCACGATTTAATCTCGCTAAAAGGAGAAATATTCAAATATTTATCTAAATATAAGTGTAACAGCCAGAGAGTCTCTCTCCCACGCAATGACTACTAAAAGTAACTCATGGAAATCGATGAATGACACCAGTTTAACATAATCCAGAAATAAAAACTTTTATGCGTGGCGTCATAACGCCACTAGACGGAGACGCCGTGCCTGCAGAGGATTTCTTTGCACATCAATGAGACAACAGAGCAATAAGACGACTCATTCAAAACCGTCAGGGAGGTTTTCAGATGTATGACCCATTTCACATGTGGGTTCATCTTTCATCCTAGAATTTTGTCACTTACAGATGTGCTGTTTACGGTGTACATTGACGCCTGCTGAAAATGAAGGTGGTAGACCTGGTGGTACACAATGAGAGTGCTCTTCAGCTTTTAAGCGGCATTATTTGTACACACTCGTTTCCGACCAACTGCGTGCTAAGTGGCCAATATTGTCACATGCTTATTAAATATATTATTTCACCCACCGTGATGTCTGAGAGAAGGTCCGTTTTCTATGGCGTTCAGAAACTCTCTGTGGCTGGCAGGCATATATTCCCGAATTTTTCTGAGATATTGCTCTGCTTCTAAATGAAAAAAAAAAACAATAAGAAAAAGAACAGGCCTACTTGGCTCTTGTTATTTTTTTTAATTATTATTTTTTTTTTTTATTTTTTGCCTATCGATTACGGCCTACTCTTCTCTGCGTATTTTGTACATGCCATTCCAAAACAAATACCATGTGTTGACGACATAGAACATTTTCCAAAATTTTAATCGTTCTTACTCATTTACTTATATAGTTTAACTTACCTGCTGTATGTTTGACCTCAAATATGGCGTCAAAGGTCTGGATGGTTGAACTCTGGGCTGCACTTGCTCCCAAGTACTTCAAAAGCAAAATAATAATCATTTAAGCTCTTTGGTTCTTATCATAGCAAGCAAATCGAATATCAAGGAACTGATTTCGATCAATGAACCTACCCGGTAAACAAAACCACTGGGGATCGCTAGTGTACATTGTACGTTGTACTGGATATAAATTACGCTTGACATAACTTCAGATCTCATTTTGTCCAAAGAAGGGACTTCTTACTTGTAACGGTGAATCGCTGACACCTTCGTATATCAGTCCTTCCGGGAGAAATTTGCTTTGTGCTCCCCAACTACAAGAGAAATGTTTGATTGTCATACTAAATATCTCCAATGAGACCCACAGGTTAAATCAGTTATGACTGTATTACTTATCCACTTAGATATTGCAGAAATTAACATCGCTATGTTATGAGATAATACTGGTACGTTTGAAAAGGAAACACTGGGGTGAATTTAATGACGTAACAAGAACGTTATTATTTTGCAAATTTCGGTGCCATTTTGTAAATGCCGTTCTCTTATTAAGTTTCATGGTGTGCGGCATTTTCTTTAAAATACCATTGGCTCTAGTCGCACATACATTACAAAACTTCCATGACGTACCCTTCGAAAAACGGTCGAAGTTTATGATAAAATGTCCAAGGGTCCTGTTTTTCTGTAAAAAAATTAAGATAATTGATTGAGAATCGCGGAAACTGCTAATATATGTACAAACAGTTTTAAAGAGACATTTTTGCGTAAATACACATGTTAATATAGATATTGCATTTTGAGAGAGAGAGAGAGAGAGAGAGAGAGAGATGGGACAAAAAGACAAACAGACAAACCGTGCATTCTGGACAGTGTTTGTTGCATCCTCTGAATGGTGTCAGCCATCCCTTGCAAACCTTCTATCAAACCATCGTCATCACCTGTCGTCAACGCCTGATATGTTTTAATTATATCCTAAAATATAAAATAACACTCAAACCTGGTGCAAAACTATGTCTTTACCTACATATAAGTACCGACTTCTGTATATACGCCTTTTTCAAGTATGGATACTTTTATTTATAAGTATCTGTCCTGCCCATTTGACGTACCCTTCAACAGTAAAACCGTAACCGTACGCGTGCCTTTTGAGTCGAGTTTGTGCTTATGCGTGGTGCACGTGTTTTTGTATTGAGTGCTTAAGAGTGGGTGACGAAAGAGAAACCAAATTATTTGAGCAAGATAGGACAGTTGGAAACAGAATCCAACCTATACAAACGAGTGTTTAGGATATTTATTTGTCAGCTGTTGGATCAACTTATTCCTGAGCGACTGCACTTGACAGTAAAGGCAGTAATTTAAACGTACCTTGACTCCCTTGCCAAAGTCTATTTCGATTAGAACAGAAACTATGAAAAACCAGTCAGTTTGAGGACTGCCGGGTGCGCAGCAAATACGTTCAATGTCGCTGAAATAAAATTTTGTAAAAATTATCACATTATACATTCAACAAAAGTATAATCAAACATTCATAAAACGCCGGTTGACGCTAAAAAATTAGTCTAAGTCGTAGAGTAACGTCACTTGTATCAAATACACGTCTCAGCTTGCAGTCACGCATCTCAAATAGTGACAAATACAATGTCAGGAGAAACGACCATATTTTGAATAAAGACGGTGGACTTGTATAGGTCTGAACCTAGTACATCTGTTCTTACTAGCGCCTGATTTGCTTGTTGTCAATTAAAACTCCGGATTCAAGTGTTTACCTACAAAAGGCAAAATCAAAATATGAAGAGAGTGAGCGCCGTGAAGAGACGAAGTGAAGAAATACATACAGCACCTGCTGTCTTAGAATTCACATTAAGCAAGAGACAAACCTGCTGTCTTCCGATTCCTTCCTCCAGTTAGCCAGTATACCTGCCATGTAGCAGTAGACAGGGTTAAGTCCTAGGTACTGGGACACGTGGTACCATGGTACAGCGACAGCCCTCGGAAGAACCTGCATATATAATATAATATAATATAATATAATATAATATAATATAATATAATATAATATAACATCTTCACTCATACAATTAAACAATTATTAAAATCTTGTGATAAACCACACTTCTTGCCATCACTCGTTCTTCTGGTTTCTTCATTCTAGGTGTATTTTTTAAACGCTTCCTTAAAGGGATAATAACTGTTCGTATCGGCCAAAAAATGAATTTTTCTGGAGTAAAGAACAATTTCCCCATACTTACCAATGGTTAATGAATCCATTTTTACACTCAAAGTTAGTCCCTGTTTTTTTTTCTAAAAAGTTTGGTCTTGTGTTTGCATGGTCTTAAGAGATTTTAACAGAGTACAGCCATCAATGGAGGTCACGTGGTCTAAAGACAAGCTCAGATACCAGAAAAATAGCTATAGCTGCCGTTTTTTTTTTTTTTTTTGGTAAAACAGAATATATTATATTTCTACGAGTTATTCACATTGTTTTTATTGTGAAATATAGATCTCATACATAGAGTTATTATCCCTTTCAGCTTGATAGAGAACGTGGATGAACACTGCCATGTTTTAACTAATCATACCTTAGGTATCACGCCCTTATCTCTGTCTTGCCAAACGTAACAGTGTGCAATTGTAGACAACAGACTGTGGGCTAAACAGTACTCTTCATAACTCTGCAGACCGGTGTAGTCCAGATACTGTAACTGAAACATTAAGGCGATATGGGAAATTATGGCGAGTTAGAATTAGGCAAACTGTAGATGATAATTTATAGAGAAATAATCATGTTTTTCATTTAAACTAGAGTGGTACAGAAATTGAATGAAAGAAATTCTAACATTAATAGGGCTATGACAGTTTTATTCCACAGTCGGATTACACACATATGAAACGGTTGAAAAGGCGGTTAATTTATGTATATTATTGTTCAAATGGTATTTGGTCTTTGTTTTGCCTCTCATGGCCTCATGTTGGTGGCCTTAAACTTTTTCTTCAGCACTACCTTTTCAACTTCATTTTTCAGATTTCTTGTGTCCATCAACTTTGCAGCTTTCTTTCCAAGAATTTCCCAAGGAAGGAAATATTCCGACAGATGTTCCTAAAACAATTCAAAATTCGAAAGGACGATATATTTGGACAACATATACCACTTTGCAGTTGACCGAAGATCGAGGTGTCAAAAAAAAAAAAAAAAAAAAAAAAAAAACGCCGCAAACTTGTGTTGCACCCGGGTGCATAATCAAAGATACAATTAGAAAGATCTCATCTATTTTGTCTTACCTTCGGAGACAACAACGGTCATATTTGGATCAATGCCTTTTAAGTTAAAAGTTAAAAAGTTAAAACCCCCATTGAAGTGTCCAAACATGTTAGAAGCGACTTCTACGAGCCTGAATGCTGTTTGAGTGACCTGCGAGCTGAATGTCGTGGTGGAAAAGCAAGGAGAAAATTCAGAGATGATGCTCTTACCAGTTAATTCGACTTTTAATGCCAGAGCGCTTCCAACGAGAGTGGAAGTGCGCATAATGCGGCCGCCGAAAGGGATAGGAATTTAGAGCTCAAAAGCAGTCCGCAGCAGAAGTATGTTGTTGAATTGTTAGATGTATTTGTGAAAACTTGAATATTAACATGTTACTTGTTTTCGATTTTTTTCTCGGCGCACTACTGCATTGACCACGTGTAAGACGGAAGTACTGGTAAAAGTTGCAAAGGTGTAAAAATATGTAAGCTGATAGCAGCCCTATATTTTTTGTCTTTGTCGACTTGCCTGGCTTACCTGACAGGTGGCAGTAGGATCCACAGGTGTAAAAACCTATACCATCTGCCAAACCTTTGTATTTTAAGGTACTTTCTAATCGTGTAATTCGGAATGAAGCACGTAGCCTACATGTCGGGTGACAGGTCTGACACGTGTGAAAAACTATTACAACTGCTCTTCTACCTAACTTTTAGTGTTAACATAGAGCTGTAGTGTTTATTTGTGTTTGTTTTAAAATAATATCCAGGTTCAGGGTTTTCTTTTTTTGTGTGTGAAAATACTTGTAAGACTGGAGTATAAGTAACCTCACCCGAATCGACTGGAATGGCTTCACACGCTGCTTACGTCACTATATAGCCTACATCATCGTGGCGCCTCCACGCGGGCGTATCTTAAACTAGATTCAATTCAATCCGAGTAAAAATGATAAAATGTAATTACTTTTTAATTGATCAAAAATGCTTTTATGGGCACATAACCGACAGTTTTAACCCCTTTATTCAACACATATGCCTCTGGTTAATTCATGTCACTTCTCTCTACTCACGTTAGAGAAAAGTGCACATAATTAATCTGCGGCCCTGTTAAAGGGTTTCTGAAGACGACAGAAGTTAGAAAATCTACTGCTACAAACAACATGCCGCTGGCTTTTTTGACAAAAGTTTTATTGTCATTAAGAGAATATGCCGTTCCTCTGAAGGCACGCCTGAATTATACGGACAAAATTTACGTTGACTTTGATATACTCTTCTTTTGGTATACATGTCGCTCTGATTTCTTTGGTGATAGTTGCTGTGGGACAGTGTGGGGTTTTTCTTTAGTTCTCAGAAATACAGGTTGTATATAGTTTGTAAACAGATAATAACTGACATTCACGTTTACACTGGTGAACAATGTATTTAACACAGAAAGGAAAAGTATCAAAATCGCCATTAAACGTCATGGTAACTATAAAGAATATTAATATATCTCCCTATTCAATTATTCCAATGGGCAATTAAAGCAAAAATCTATTCACAAAGTTTTCCAAAAGTAAGAAGGAAAGATGCATATAATTAAAATCACAACAAGGACAATGAACATCTCCCTAATACCAACTGATTTTCTAATAACATATCCTAACTTCCAATGGGTTAAACTTACCACTGGGTTTTCTACTAAGAACCCAACCTTTTCGGAAACACGGAAGTCTTTCAAACGTTTCCACCAGTCATCCATTTTGTCAGTTTTCAGGACGATACCAGTGGACTAGGGTGCTGTAATAATTCAAAATGCCGTATTGGCAGCAGTCATATCAACATCATGACAGCGACCAAAACTCAAAGCTAAGCAACCAATCAGACGCCAGCCTCGCTTTCACCTATGACAAAAATTTTCAAATCCTCAGCCGACCTTCGACTCCCGAGCCGTTTACATGTTAAATGCTTACCTTCTAGCTCGTATCCCTTGAGTTTTTGGCAGACACCTCCCAAACACAGCAGCTCGGAAAAACGGTGATTCGAATATACCATCCAACTTGACACGAGACACAAGCGAGACACTTGTGATCAAGCATGATACTATAAAGCCGAGATGGCTTTGTCATTCACAATGGTGAGATGCCATTGATGATAAAATCACCGGACAAATTAAGGCGAGACATCTTTGTTAACCGACCACCCCCCTTTCCCCCTTTTTTATTTTTCCCTTGGATTTGCAGCTGATGAAGGTCACTTGTTGACCGAAAAGCTCTCTCTGCAACCAGTCCATCTGGCGTTTCTCCCGACAGGCAGTGCCACTACATTGCCGTGTTTACCTTGGTCCACGATTACAGGCGAGACACCTCAATCGTATTAATCACTTAATACCCTTTTCAGAGCTCCATATAATGTCCTCGGTACATACCCTGTAGATACTTAGAGACTTGGAATACCTTTTCAAGGTACCCAGTGACATCCTATGAACACGGTTACCTAATGATCTTTCAGAATCTTCTCAATCCACCACTATGTTCTGTCATTATCAAAAATGCACTGAATAAATCTGAAATTATATCTGAACAGAGCGCACCTCCTAATAATCCCGCGATATCTCGCTTGTTTTTAAACTAATTTATGAGACTTTGGGCTGTCACGGATGGTTCCCATTTTGCCCTTGCGCTCTATCTCTTACGTGCAGGTACATAATTTATATGCATAGTCTCTATGATATTGTTCTGCAAAGCACAAATATTTCATTGCATATAACTGTAACTCTTTCTATGAGTATCTTTCTATCTCGCTGTCTATCTACAGTACGTATCTCTTTCTCCATGTGTCTCTTTCTGACACCTCTTTTATACTTTATCTTAATTTAAAATTAACATCTATAAGTGACATGCTACCTGCCACGCTTATATATACTTACTTGTATATACATTTCATATCTTCCATCAATGCATTTTAAATTAACTTTTCTAGCTGAGAGATTGTAGATTTAAAAATAACATACTATTTTGCATCAGTTACAGATTGCATTATAAAGTGAATTCCAATTAAAATTGTGTCTATCTTTAAAGCTTACATCAGTTACCATAACTATTAATATAAGGGTTCCTTACAAACAATAGACTATATTGGTTTTGATTAGGAGTTACAATGTTTTGAGATTGATTACGTACCGCTGGTACGGTGCCCACTGCTTTCATATGATGCAAACCTAAGTTTGCTCGATATCTTTAAGCTCTATACTTCTTTAGTTCTGAGTGAACGTTAATGTGGGACTTGTACAATTAAAAGAACATTTCTTTTGTGTCAATGTGCGCATTATCACAAGGAGTACTTACATAATATGATAGGTATGATGCTTGTCACGTACACTTCTAAGATCCGAGGATCCATATATTTGTGAACATATATTTGTAATATAATAATAATTTTTATTGAAATATTGCAACCCGAAGGGTTATATAGTATATATATAGTTATTTACTTATTTATTCATTTTTTAATGAAACTTATTTAAGCTTGGTCATTTTTTTGGCCCTGTTGCACTCTATAGTCGCTCTCACCTCCTTGGGAAGGATACAAATTCTATAGTCAAATTCAACCATCAATTCAAACATATCTATTTGCAACAATTACAATATACATAGTCAGTGAGCGCAGATGTCACTACTTCCAATTACTTTTGCGACTCTAACGCATCCACTACTTCTACGTACTGAGTGTTACTGTTGATCGTTGCATTCAGTTCAGTTCGTTAGTCTTCTAGCTCTGTTCAGTACCCGTGTGCACGTCAGATTAGAGATTAGGTGGGGACGTTGGGCTCTCCACCTGGCGTGCGCAGTATTTAATTTAATTGCGCGTTCCCCGCACGGGAAGAGTATATCGGTAGGGAAATGCACGATCGCAAAAAAGTCAAATTAAGTCAACATGCTAAAGGAGAAAGTTAATTAGTCGTTCCGTCAGCCAAAGTTAGCTTAAAAACTGAAACTTTTTTTAATTTCTGGTAAACACGACTACCTTTTAGTTTCACAGTTTTTTTTCTGCTTACGGGGCATCCTGAACTGTTTATGACCTCATTTCCGGTGGATGTTTTCTATCTCAGAGCACATAGATTTTACTTTTAATGTATTTCTTTAAAGATCTCTTAATCTGATTTTGATTTGACGATGCGGTTGGTCCCTGGGTGCAGAAGAGATGAACGTTCTTCCATTTTCAGGCCTACTAAAGCCCTGTCGTCTGCCTGCCATGTCACGTGTCCTGTGTCGCTGTCGCCAAGGATACATCTGGCTGTCTGGTCTCGAGTCGATTTGAGGAAGGCGATCAAATCTGAAAACAATGTCAGTTCCAAATAGCTATGTTATTGTATTCAACCAAGATCCTCTGTTGCCAAAGGCCTTCATGAAAATGATTTAACAGAATTAGGAAGAAAATATTGGACATTGCACCATCCTAACGGTTCAAAGAATACATAAGTGATAATAGCTGCCATCTTGTATGTAATATTACTCTGTTTCCTATTCGCTCAACGTGAGTGTTGCTTACGTTTCCTTTCAATTTACTTACATGTCCCGCCTGCCCCTTGGGCCTCCGTGATATTACTTGACTCTCCATTTTTCTTGTACGACTGCAGCAAAATATATCTACAAATGTGATGAAGTGATACGTTACAATAACTATTATAATTATAATTGATTGTGTGTACATAACATAGCTGACGAAACCCTTTGCTAAATGGAGTAAAGCTTTTGAATCATACTGAAAATTCCCCTTTTTTCAAATTACGGAACTCACTGTTTGATCTAAATTCAGTTTAAAAGTGGATTTGTTTCAATTTTCAACTGTGCACATTCTTAAGTCGAAATCACGTTTCTGGTTATAATGTTATATTGTTAGACACTATATATTTACCAGACAAATAAGATTGTGACCACTCCAATCTGGACGCTGTTTTTGCTTACCACGGTCACGTTTCTCTTGATCAATGAAAATGGTTCATACGGACTTCCACGTGTCCTTATTTGACTTAACAATAAATAAAACAGATGATTTTAAGTATTTGATAATCATATAAGGCATGATACTTACTTAACAATAGTCGCAAAGTGGTATGATCGAAATTCAGTAAGTGCTTGGATGCATTTGTTGTATGCTTTCCGTACACCATCTTCGCGAGAGAGTCTCACTAAAAGGAGGAATATTCAAATATTTATCGAATCAAATATTTAACTCAAATTTCATTGGCCATAGAAAATTTCCAAAGAGGAATTACGTCGCAGAACAAACACAGAATCAATTGTGGATCAGGCATGTGACCAGGATGGAGAAAACAGCAATTCCAACAGAAGCGTTAAGATGGGCAACGGAAGGAAAAGACACAGAGGAAGACCGAAGGAGACGGTGCGTTGAGAAGAAGATGAAACAACAAGGATGGACGTGGGGACAGCTTGAGGGTTTATGCAGCAGACAGACAACACTGGCAAGCTCTGGTGGATACCTTATGTGCCACATCGACCGGTTACAAGCTAGCTGGCCAATAATGACACGAGCTAATTAAACATTTTATTTCACCTACCGTGATTTCTGAGAGAAGGTCCGTTTTCTATGGCGTTCAGAAACTCTCTGTGGTTGACAGGCATGTATTCTCTTATTTTTCTGAGATATTGCTCTGCTTCTAAATGAAAAAAAAAAAGAAAGAAACAAGAAAAAGTATGCTACATGTAGTCTCTTGTAATGGATGCATTTTCTTTTCGTCATATCAATTAGGCCTACAGCCTACCCTTCTCAGGGTATTTCGTACAGGTCAATCCAAAATTTAAATCGTGTGTGGACGGTATAGAGCATTTTCCATAATTTTAGTCGTACCTACTCATTAAGTGATGATAAATTATAACCTACATGTACCTGTCGTATGTTTGACCTCAAATATAGCGTCAAAGGTCTGGATGGTTGAACTCTGGGCTGCACTTGCTCCCAAGTACTTCAAAAGCAAAATAATAATAATTAAAATACTTTGATTCCTAACCATAACAAGCAAATCTAGCATCACGCAACCGCATGGTCTCGAACATTGGACTTACCCAGTAGATCGCCAGGGATTGCTAGTGTACACTGTAAATTACGCATGCGCTAACTTCAGTTATTCTCATTCCGTCCAAGAAGGGCCAACAGGTACTTACATGTAAGGGTGATTCGCTGACACCTTCGTATATCAGTCCTTCCGGGAGAAATTTGCTTTGTGCTCCCCAACTACAAGAGAAATGTTTGGTTGTCATTCCGTATTATTTTGCAAATTGCGGTTCCATTTTGTGTAAATGCCGTTCTCCTTATTAAGATTCATAGTGTGCTGTATTTATTTATTTATGAAATATGAGAAAGGAATCACACAGTCCCACTGACATGACAAATTATGACCGTGATATGTCGTACTGCCAACTGGTCACGATTCAAGGTGTTGGTTTACCTGAGAGCATCAGGGTTTGTCAAACAATTGGTCACAAACGCATGCAATGTACACTGAAGAAAGTTTAAAACAAAATTCCACATCATTTTGCCTTTGTAGCAAGGATATGTTGAGATAATCTTTATCATAATGCGTTAATCAATGTGTAATGTTTTCGTGTTACAAAACTGCCATGACGTACCCTTCGAAAAACGGTCGAAGTTTATGATAAAATGTCCAAGGGTCTTGTTTTTCTGTAAAAATAAAGATAATTGATTGAGAATCGTGGAAACTACTAATATATTTACAAACAGTTTAATACACATATTAATATAGATATTGCATTTTGAGACAGAGAGAGAGAGAGAAAGAGAAAGAGGGGGACAAAGGACAAACAGACAAACCGTGCATTCTGGCCAGTGTTTGTTGCATCCTCTGAATGGTGTCAGCCATCCCTTGCAAACCTTCTATCAAACCGTCGTCATCACCTATCGTCAGAGACTGATACACCCTAATTATGTCCTAAGATACAACATACAATTCATCACTCTTCACTCGGAGGTTCAGGTATCACTTGAAGCAAATCTCTACACTAACATGCCCTTGCTGTTTCAAGTAACCTCTGACCAAAGTTATTTTAATTTTTCCTTGTTTATTAAGCTAATCCATGTTATCAAAAATTTGGTGAAAATGCTGATTGGATGAAGGTCTAGAAATATATTCAATGAGCCTAGAGTGACGCAATATATCCCCACAATCTTTGGTTGGTCCAGATTTGACTTTAACTCGTTCGCATTTATAGGTTAAATCGTTCAGTGAGTAATTAGGGGCAAGGTTTAAATTTGATTGCTCGCAGCCAAGCCTAACTAAACTCGTCAGAGGTAACTTGAAACGGCAAGGGTATGCTTCAGTGTAGAATTTTGATACAAGATATTTCTGAAGCTCAGAGTGGCCCTCTATTGCCTAGTATAAAACTGCGTCGTCACACTTAATGACTTCTGTATACACGCCTTAATTATAAATAAAAACATATCCTTGTTTTTAAGCTATGGATTTTTTTTGTGTACAAGTTTTGAGTTTTGGGATTCGTTGACTCCTGAAACGTGAAAATAATAGCAGTATTTGACATGTACCTTGACTCCCTTGCCAAAGTCAATTTCGATTTGAATTGTAACTATGAAAAACCAGTCGGTGTTAGGACTGCCGGGTGCACAGCAAATGAGTTCAATGTCGCTAAAATGAGATGTCGCAAAAATTATTTCAAAGGTGATGCTGGCAACGGTAAATTTCAGTACAAGGTAGAATCAAGCATTCGTAAAAACGCCGGTTAACGCAAGAAAACTAACTATGAATCGAAGAGCACTATCTCTGTTGTCATTTGTATCATTTAAACGTCTTACTTTGCATTCACAAAGTTAAAAGAGTGACAAAAATTTAGATATCTGTGACATGACAAACCACCGTTTTTTTTTTTTCAAATAAAGACGATGATCTTGTTTAGGTCTTGGCCTACTACAACTAGACAGACTTCACTTTTAATAAGAGTAAGTACTGCTGTCTGCCAGACTTCAATTTTAACAATAGACAAACCAGCTGTCTTCCGATTCCTTCCTCCAGTTAGCAAGAATGCAGGCCAAGTAGCAGTAGACAGGATTAAGTCCTAGGTACTGGGACACGTGGTACCATGGTACAGCGACAGCCCTCGGAAGAACCTGCAATATATATAAACATAAATATTTATATAGGCCCTACGCACAAGTCTTAGGTCGCATTCAGAAGAGATGATTCTCGGATATACAAGTCTGCGGGTCAAATATGGCGGACCCTACTTGAAAGCAAGCCCGCCTAATCCTTTAATGGTCTCCCCGCCTCCACACGGTTTAAATTGCAGCTTCGAGGTTTAATTGCTAGGCTCCTGCAGAGAAGGTGCGTTTGGAGGCGATGATGAGGCAGTCTTGCTCTCATGTATGGTCCGCCATATTTGGTCCAAGGATCCCAGAATCCCAGGATCACCTCTTCCAGATGCGACCTTTCAACAGTTCGGCACAACATAATTCTTGTTATTATTATACGATTCTTTGATTCGTTCATTCAATGCGTCCATTTTAAGTTACCCTCAGCCTTATAGAGAACATCATTACGTAGACGAATCCTGCCAAGTTTAAACTAACCATACCTCAGGTACCACGCCCTTATCTCTGTCCTGCCAAACATAACAGTGTGCAATTGTAGACAACAGGCTGTGGGCTAAACAATACTCTTCATAACTCTTCAGACGATTGTAGTCCAGATATGGTAACTGAAATATTAAGCCACGCAAGTTTTGAAATTATGTCGAGTTAGAATGAAGAAAATTGTACATGATGAATTACATAGAAGAAATTATATTTCTCCTTGAAAATATAGTGGCAATTGCGTGGAAGTTGGAAATTCAAACCGTTAAAATTCTACCATTTATTAGGGAAAATAGCACATACCTGTACACAAAATCAATGCAGAAAGTTTCCATCAGTTGCAGAGAATTAGATAAAGTCAGATATGCCTACATTACCCCATGATTTAATTACATACAAACATATTATTAACAATTATTTCCCGGTAAAAAAGGGTTGAAGATAATTATGTTCAGAAAGTGTTTGACCTGGAATCTGCCTCTCATAGCCACTGGGACGCCCGGGAGCCACGTCTGCCTCAACCTCTCCCCATTCCCTCACTCAATATCCTTTCCGCCCCCCCTCTCTCTCCTACCTTTTCAGCTTCGTCTTTCAGTTCTCCTGTGCCTGTCAACTTCGCAGCTTTCTTTCCGAGAATTTCCCAAGGGCGGAAATATTCCGGCAAGTGCTCCTGAAACAGTTTTAAGGTACTTATAGAAGGGGCGATATATTTGAGAAACTTTTTGCAGGTTTGTGGTCGACAAAAAAAAAAAAAAAAAAAAAAAAGGATTGATTTTTAATTATTCTGCGTCAACTTTACTTATCTAGCCATTCAAAATGCTTAATAAAAACACGTTCTCGAGACCAGTGTATGAGTTTCGCCCGTTCCATCCTTTGAACTTTAGACCTTCCTTCTGTGATCTCAAAATTTCCCCTATTTCACATTGTTTGATGTTTAAAACACTCTTTTGCTTATTATGTGACAACCACGGATAAACACGCTTTTTTTAGGTGGATTATTTCAATATAGGTATATCCTAGCTAACACAAAACATGTAAAGACATTTTGAAAAGGCTAAAGCAAAAACACTATGATTTAAAGATATTTAAATGCTTTTTTGAATGTGAAATGTAATTGTAAAAACAATAACTTGATTTCGGGGCATCAGCTACGTCTGTAGAATTCTTAAAAGTTCACTACATTAAATTTAATTTTCATCATGTCTTTTTTTATATAAATAGAAAAATAATTAAGTTTCATATATGATTAAAATATTTTTGGTTATATATATTTATTATGTTAATTGTTCTTTCAATATATTTCGAACCGAAAGAACGTGTCAAGTATACACGTGTGATTGAGAGGCAGTGCTACTGCATGGTTTTGAATTCGTGATGGGCAAACAAGGTGACGAGAGATACCCTCATGTTGTTAGCAGGTTTTACAAGTCAAACAATCATACAGGCTTCAATTAAAACTTCCATCATTTGTTATTAGACAAAAAAGACGCTGTAGCTTGCAGATAATTTGTTATTAGACAAAAAGGATGCTACAGCTTGCAGATTGATGACGTGGTTGGACCATGTTATTTTATGTAATACATATTTGCATAACTTTAATTTGAATGTATACTGTGAAGACAAAATATGATCATTTGCTGCTACCATGACTCTCTCTGTCTCTCTCTGGGTTAACGAATTGTTTGTTGGAATGGAAATCATATGCTCAAAGAGCAACTTATCTAATATATCCGTCAAAAACTAATATGGTGTTAAAATATTCAAATTATATTCAGTTTTTATATATATGAAATTGAAGTCAATAAAGTTTGTCAAATAAATACGTTATTGGAATGTTCGGGTCTAAGGGTGCATTCACATGAAAAATCTATTTTCTAAAAAACTAAAAATCTATTTGCGGTATCTTGTGATCACGGTCTGTGCCCTGAATACCCCGCGGCGTAATTACTGGCAGCGCCGAGAATTAATTACAGTTTTGGAAGTAACTGGCTCGCGCTGCCCGTAATTACGCCGTGGGGCATTCAGGACACAGAACGTGATCACAAGATACCGCAAATAGATTTTTAGGAAATAGATTTTTCATGTGAACGCAGCCTAACGCACCATTTCAGTGACAAATAGAATGCAATTACATTGCCAGAATATTCATACTGGTATGATGGTATCACAGGGAACACAAGCTACCAGTAGGTCACTTCTCCAGCATGTAACACGTCAAACACACCGGCCATTATATGTTTTTCAGAATCAAATACAAACTGACTGGCCTCTACGTTTATTTCACTGGCTCGGAGACCTGGGCCCCGTAACTCGAAAGCATCGCGCACTGCGATCGAGCGCAAGCGTCTCGATTCCATAACTCGCCCATACTCGCCCCATATAATACATTGTAGCCTCCATGTGATATCGCTATTCGCAATACGCGATGCTTTTGATTTGCGGAGCCCTGGAGTCATGTAAGACAGCACGGACAATCCAGCTATCGATTCGACTGACGAAACTTAATCTGCTGACAATACAATATATATACCGGTAAATGTATATTATACATGAGATGAAGCACAAAAAATACATCAAAGAGATTACGATAGAAAGAGATATTGAAGCCAATTAAGACACATTTATTATATGTCTATAACACAATAAAACTGAGACTGATTACACTTTAACTGGGAGATGAAGCAGAAAATAAACCGTATCAGTCCTTTTACAGTTAAAGCGTCCCATAAAAGTAAATTACAGTTCTGTCTTATGAATAAAATACATTAACAGATTCAATTTATAACAACTGAGACATATCAAAATATCTTTACCAAACAAAGACATAATTTCATTATAAATAGGATATTTCTGAAATGCAAATGGCCATGAAATCAACACTATGGCACTGGTACATCATTTTGAACAGCAAAATAAGTATTACGCCATTTATCCTACTGTAATTGTATTACAGTAAGTATACAGTAGCCTTGGTACAAGTCAGTTTGGACAAGGTTGAGTTGTGTAAAATGAACATAAAAACTACATTTTTGTCAAACACGTAAGCTAAGTTTGGGAAGGGCTTTTATTCCTTCTCTTTTCTGCCATCATCTTCGTTAGAAGACCCAGAAGTTAAACTGCTTTATAAGGTTAACAACAGTGATGAATCTTTAAAACTGAAACTGTATAAAGGGGAAAATTACGCATTAGTGTATAGAACACAAATAAACTACCGCGGAAAGAAATAACACGCAATATCTGTGACATCTGTTAATATGGCCTAAATTGTTCAATATAGTTTTTTTCCGCGTTTCTTTTATATGAAAATACTTACTTAGATATCAGTACAAAAAAATCAAACACTTTTAGAGCAAAAATTCCCATCTTTGTTTTTTATTCACCACCCCATGCGCTTCTACGATTAAGCTCTGTCCCCGTTTATTCTTAATTTACTGGTTACTGCTTTGTAAATTGATGTAGGATAGTGAACGATTTGCGGCGTAACTCCATGGACACTGGTATGGTTGACGACAAAGGTGTAATTTACAATTTGTTACCAACGTTTGCTTTTGTGATTTTCCATCGAACAAAGGCATTATTTCACCTCTATACAGATTAAATCAAAACTAACCATTTCAAAAAGAATCTTTGGCAACATTTGAAGCGTAGTACTTATAGTAAACTGATAATTAATGATTAAATAAGCGTTAAACGGAGTTGATAGCTGTTCAGGTGAAGAAGACCTGCTTAAATTCGAAAACAATTTCCACCACAAAAACGTTGCTGTTACGTCATCAGCTGGAATGAGCGGTATCTTTGATGTGACAGCTCTGTCTCGTAACAAGGCAAGGCTAGACAAGGTCCATGTCTGCATTATACAAACGGATATGAAAACATATCCTCACGTATACACCCTCCTTAAAGGCAAAACCAATTCGTGGTAGCATATTGTCCCACCCTTGAAAGGATTCACATTTAAAATCAGAAAAACCTGCTAGACTATATAACGAACTAGGACATTTAACATAGCCTAACCTCCAACTGATTTTCTAATAACTTATATAATTATCCTGAATACGAATGGGTTAAACTTACCAATGGATTTTCAACCAAAAATCCAACTTTTTCCGAAACACGGAAGTCTTCCAAGCGTTCCCACCACTCCTCCACACTGTCAATTTTCAAGACAAATTCCATGCTTGATTCGATCTTTTGAACGTGCTGCTGGCAGTAAAATACTGGAACCAGTTATCATCTGTATGTATATATATATATAACATCGTGTAGCTCTGAACCCACACGTACAGTCACGTAATAAAAACAAGACCCGCACGGCAGTATTGATGGCGTCATATGGGTGGGTTGCCCGGCCATCTTTGTCACAATTTGAAAACACGAGAAACGGCTCTCTTTAAAGGATAGGGCGCTGAAATTAAAGTCTAGTGTCTAATTTCTACTTTCATTTTTAATTAAGAGGACTTAAGGGTCCTGGTGTCTCGCCTTGTTGCACAGGCCCCGCATTTTTTTTCTTTTTTGCTAACTCAAACCAAAACGTCATAATACGAACCGTACTGCCACGACCTTTTTGCAACACCGCTCAGTCTCTTGCAGGCTTTAAAACCACAATGTTTAATTCACAAAACGTTCCATACACTGAAACAGCGACGCTGCTACCTTCGATGTTCACTAGGCGTTATCCGTTAGTGCTGGAGGGTCCACACATGTTAATTTAAATGGGACTCCTTCTGCACGAGTTTATGCAATTATCTTGAGCAAAAATGTTCATTAGCTAGATAGTTGGATCATATATGGTGATTGTAAAACACAAGCTGAAATACTTTTAACAACAACTACCCACATCCGTCTGATGAAGGCTTACTTATTAACTTGTGTTTTATATTTTCATATACAAAATCACCTTGCTATGAATATATTTTCATCACATTTGATAAAATACTTAAATTGCAAAAAGAGGTGTTACACGTTTTTATTCTTAAATATTCCAAATAAAATGCTGTACATGTCGTTGTCGGTTTAAAGTCTATATCTAAGTCCATCACTTCCAGTGTTTTTAACGGCACTGCATTACTCATGTGTCAAAAACCTTCCCTATACTGTAAGGCATTCCTCTAGGTATCAAGGTTAAATTGTCTCCTTAGGCAAATATAACACAGTTGAGGCATGCCAAGAGTTCTAATGAGAATCAGCAATGAAATTTGATTGATCTGCAAGGAACCAGCCCAGGAAAGATCACACAACTAATCTTCATCACAACATTGTCCCAATCTGTGAATGCAGTTCTTTTAATTCTTCCACCACCCAGTGTGGAAGTCCTGAGATGGACTGGACATGTAACAGGTCTTGAGTTTCTGTTCTCATGTTTGACAATATCTTCTTACATCTCTCTTCCGTCTGAAACTGCAACATATACTGATATATTACTTTGTCTAAACAATTAAAGTTTCAAAATTCTTTTCCTCCTGTAACATATACATATATGTGAAATTGTCTAGAAGCACATAAGTTTCAGCTTTCTTTTCCTCCTACCTAGATTAAGTTATTGTTATTTCAAAAGCCAAATCTATAACTCTGTTTTTATAAACAAGGAGGCCTTCTATTTGATAAAGTAAGGTGACTTTCATTGTTTTTTAATATACAAGCAAACACCATATAGATCTTTACTGTGTATTTAAATACCAAGAACTGATTTGTTTACCTGGTTTTGCCCATCAGAATCTTGCCTCAATCTTTTTGCTGCTGGCTAAAATGGAAACAAAAGAACCATTACTATCACCATTAGAATAAAATTTAAAAATAATTCCACAATTTTCACAATAAGAATATTAATAACCAGGATGTTCCAAAATAAGACCTAAAACCCAAATCTTTTTTTCCTTCCTGACAATCAAAGATTAGCCTCTGCAAGAAACCCGTTTTATTGACCAGTATAGTTCATCTTTCTTTCTCCGACACAGAGACCATTAAAAGCATCTTCATCTTTACCAATCCTGCATCTTCTCTATGTGGAAGCAGTCTGGTCCTACATTATACTACATGTCTACTTGATTTATCATTAGTTTCACCTTTCAGGGTCCTACTACAGATAAAGTTGGATTTTTGGTGGCCTTAGCCTACAAATATGAAGACATTGTCTTAGACCCCATTCCCACAGATTTTAGATCGATCTATCCCTGTGGGAGTCTCACTAGATTCCTGTCAGTTTAGACGGCTTAAGCGTCTGTCCTGCCTACTAACAGCTGTAAGGGGGTAATTAACTACCGTTCGCGCTCGCCTGACATCAATTTAGCGTGAACCCCCAGGGAGTTAGGTAGATCTAGATGGATCGATCTAAATCTATGGGAATGCACTCTTATACTGCTCACTACTACCTCATGGTCTGACTCCAGATTATCTTTCATATTTCTTTCCTCGGGGTTACGACATGTCTGTGTAGAGGGTGGCGCCTTTAGAATGTTATCCACTTTATGCAGGTACTCCACTTCACTATATGGTAAGGCAAGCGACCATGGCACCTAGAACATGATAGTGAAATCATTACATCAGGAATGCTGAAAGAAAAGACAAAAATGAGTTCATCACACTTGCAGATCCCTTGTGAAACACAACTTCAGTGCATTAATTACCAAACATGGTGGAAGTCCATTTTCAAAGTCATATATGATACTTAAAACTTGGCTAAAGCAGATTCTCTGACTAAAGTCATTTAGCGACCTAAGTCCCAAGCACATACCTTGTTAAGGTAGCTGACTACCTCCCCCTGTATCTTCTCATTCTGTTGAAGACTCTCAGGGACTATAGACTCGTGAGAGGTTTCTTCAGCAAACTTTGAAAATGCTTCCAATGATTTTTGCTTCACCAAAGGGTTCTGGCTCTGTAGAAGATGACCAAATAACTTGGGGAGGAGGGCCAGAAGCTGAGGTTGCTGAAAATAATTCAGAATCTGAAACTAAGACAACTTAATGTAGTTTTTTTTCTGTTTGAAAATTATAACACAACTTTAAAAATGCTCTCAAAGATTGTAGGGTTGGGTTCTGCTAGGAACTGCACTTTTTGAGATTTATAAACTGTGTCAACAAAACTGTTAACAGTGTTTCATTGAAAAATAAATACCTCAGAAGATGCAGGGAATGTCTTCTTTCCCAGATTCCTGGTAAAATCTGCCACTTCACACAGTATGTCACTCGTAGGACTGATTTTTATAAGGTGAAGCAAGCACTGCACAACCTGTCAAAGAGAAATGACAAGAAAATATTAATATCTGAAAACATCCATGATTTTTTAATATACTTGAGCCAAAAAAGACTTCAGTCCATTTCTTTAAAAAAATCTATGACATGCCAAACTCAGGCATATCTTCTTTGGCTTAAAAATCTAACAAAGCTTCAAAATGTGTGATTATAATTACTTGGTTTTAAACTTAAAATTCAGATCTATTCTTAATCATCAAAATCATCAAGTTAACATACACACACCTTTAAGACCTCTGCATTGTTCAGCCCACTGATTAATTGCCCTGTGACTCCTATAAGGTTGAGTACTGTTGATTGCACTACTGGGTACCTTGAAACTTCCTGCAAGGGTATACTGGACCATAGGGTGCAGCACTGGTCTATCAAGACAGCCTGATGCTGAGCTGATACATATTTTTCTCTAATTTGTTGAGTGCTTAACAGGTTTCTTAGAAATGCAAGTGCTGCAAACTGAAAAAATAATATAATATAATTATGTATGAAATATAATGATTCAGACTAATTTTTGTCATTTTCATCAGTTTTCTACTTGGATTGTTTTCCATTGCAATCACAAAATATATAATAGAATTCCGTGCAAAAAAGCAAAATCCAGGTGAAATCTCTCTCTCTCTCTTTTATCTTGTGAGGCAACCTTATTTACCTCAATAAAAAAGTACATTCCCAATTCTTCAAAGCAATGGTTCAAAAATGAAATATCTATACATACCAATTCCCTTGTTTTTCCTAGGGTCTTACTGCTACTGCTTTTCCAATCATTGATGACCTTTGTGCACTTGATGACCCCAAGATCAATGACCTGCTGCAGAAGTATAGATGGCAGTGCAGTCAATGGCAGGTGTGACCACAGGACCAAGTGGTTTACTGGAGGGAATGTTTGCAAAAATGCCTCCTGGAAAGTGTAGTGCAATACATATAATGTTATTCACATCAGAAACTCTGCATTAATTTTGGTCAAGTACTTAAAAAAGATTTTGTGCTTAAGCCTCTTAAATATCATATGTACATATGTAACAGAGAACTCCAAAATACATCAGTCTCTATCAGAAATTTACTTGCCTACGGGCCCTTGAAACCACCAAGATCTTACAGTGTACAGACCCAAAGCAGAAACATTGGCATTTTCTGAGATATAATTTTGGTTTTGTAGCCTCACGACAGGGGCTTTGGGGGCCACTCAAGACTGATTTCAGGCAAAAAAAAAAAAAAAAAAAAAACTTTTCGGTTTTAAACAAGCTCTGCTAATTGGACATATTTCTACAATTTTATAGGCTGGCTAAGATTTTTCGTGGCATCTAGCATGGGACCAGCATGTTGTCAGACTGATACATTATGCAGATTTCTTTTTTCAAATTAATTATTATTATTATTATTGAATATACGAGCCTTACCTGGTGTTCCTGTGCCTGGAACTTGACCAGTCTTGTGAACAGTGCCACCAGGTGGAGATACTGCACACTACAGTTCCACTGAGGGTCGTCTATTAACCTGGCCACCAGACAGATGTGGGCGTGGCATACCTCTGCTGTCCCATACCTGATAATGATGGAAATACCAATTAAAATACAAAGTGTAAAAGAAATACCTCTGAAACTTTGGGGCTGGCAAATTTGTTCTAGTCACTGTAACACAAAAATTCAAGTCGGGCAATATTTGTAAAAGTTTAATAAAACCCAAAGAAAAAAAATCTATTCTAAGTATCTATTCTTCTATATTGTTCAAGATAAAATGATAATGATTTCTAAGTTGACAAGCTCAGTTATGCAGAATCTACTGCATTAAGAACTGTAAATATAACAGAGGACATTCAACAAAATAGCAGTATATAAATCACTCAATATCAAACCATTCTACTTACCTGGCTACAAAACACCAAACGTCTATGGCAAGTAAAGCACAATATAAGTTTCTGCCAAGAACATTCTCTAAAAGGCATTTTTCCTGAAAGCAGAAGCAAATCCTCGTGATTTTCTTTTTCAAACACAACATGTACTAAAAGTTTCTTACGGGCCAATCTAGAGTAGTGGAATGAAGATAGAGGGAGGAGGAGAGAGTGGGCAGGTTAAGGGTCCTTTTTAAAAAACAAAATCCCCCCCAAAAAGGGACACACATTACAGAAAAATATATTTTAGGTATATACATTCTCATTATTCACAGCAATACAAACAAGTCACCACAAACAACAATGTTTATAATACACAGTACTGTTTAAATATTTACAAAATTTCAGCAAACACCAAAGAAAATATCCATACCGCAGCATTTGTTTCTTCAAGATAAAAGAATTTGAGCTGTTAGGCCACAAGTTATACACAGTGTAATGTATGCAGAACTTACCAACACAGTGAAATGTCTGGCGGGTAAGCTGCCCACAAAACCACACAGCCTGCTGCAGATATGCTCATAAAGACTCACTTCCCTGAATACAAAATAATCAATTTCTGATGAAAAGAAGTCCATTTTACATTAAAAAAATCCTAGTTGGCTTGGTATTAACAGGAGGTATTTTCATTTATTTAGCCAAAATAAAATAATATCTAATAGCATTTTGCACAAAAATTATGTAAGTGTTTGTTTTAGTCTTGATTTACCTTTGGGGCTTTCCATTGCACATAATCCCAGGTAACTTGACTGGTAATGACAGTTCTACAAAACCTTAACAAATCAAAATATTCTGGTCAACTCCATTATTCACAGTTCTCATCATCACATTAACTGTAGCAGCCATACAAGTAATTAAAAAACAATCTCAATATTACAGTTTTGAAGGTGCTTCATAATGACTGGACAGTAGGCCCAGCATGTATACAGAACTTTATAAAAAATGTAAGATACAGAGACAATAATATCCAAGCGACATAGGTGTTTACTGTTTTAAAAACATCTTACAAATAAGGGAGCTCAAGTTTAACATCTAACCTTATGTTTAAAATTAATCATTCAATCATACATCTCATTAAGCAAGAGCCAGAAAGACAGAAACAATCACGATACAGATCATAAACCACAGATTCTTTTGTCCTCTGCCAACAACAAAGACCATAGAAGTCGCTGTGCAACCAAGACAAGATATTTCCAGGCTACAGTTTACTCCACTTACAGTTTGCTACAGAGCTGAAGAGTCCACTTAGGATGTTTTCCCTAGGTTTATCCTGTGGGTAGAGCCTTGGTGATGTCCACTGGTCCTTTACACCATCTGAAATATTTGAAATCAAAAATATAAATTCAGCAAGACATGAAGATTAATATGCACATGTCAGCATTTTGATATGAATTCCATAAAACACGAATGATAATTTATTTTGACAGAAAAGTAAAAGAAAAGGGAATTCCCTCATTTCATAAATAAGGGAAACATTGAAAATTTTGCAGTAATTAAATGTCTTGTAGGCCCTCAGCTAAAATGATTAAATACTCAGTGACTACTTGAAAAGAAAATAACCATCCCAGTGCAATTTAATAACGTCATCTTTCAATGAGACCTTGGTCAACACTGTGGTAGTGTAGCACTAACCTGTACATCTAGGAAGTAGTCCCATTACTCTGACCTGCAGCAAACACTTCGACAGACACATTTCTTTATCAAAACCTGGAAAAATTGGCAGATTGCAAATATTTCAAGCCTTGAAACTGCTTGTGCATATTGACAAAATATAAAATGACATGAATTTTAATTTTTTACACATTAATTGCAGTATTTGTAGGCATTTTTATGTTCCATTTCAAGAAAACATTTTTATGTCCATACAACAACCATCTTTACTTTTACCGCCATGTTGAAATCTGTGCATAGCATAAAGCTTTCTTCATCACTTACCCTCAGTATCCATTAGGCACTCAATGAACTCTCTGTTACCAAGGAGATGTGTTAACATTGGCTCTGTTGCTATAGTAACTTGTCTCTCTATGTCTTCTGTGTATTGTTTAGGTATGCTGGGTGCAGAAAGTGATGGGGGCATGTGCCTGGTAGGATATAAATAAATAAATAAATAAATAAATTTCTGAGCTGAAAAAAGTTTATCCAAATATCGGGGGATTTTAAATGTTAAAATTTTGAATTATACCGTACTGAGTATCCACATCCAAACAAACCTGTGTAGCTCCTGTAACAGCTGATACAGCTCTCTGACACAGTTGCCAAGGTAACCCTCAAATTCCTTCACCAGCGTCACTAGAACTTTCATCTGGAAACCAGCGACCTTGACAGACTTGGAGAATGCTTTGGGGTCCCCGCAGCTGATTTTCTGATGTATAAATAAATACTTTTGTAGGTACATAAAAAGACTGGCACTCTTAGTATATTAATTGCAATGTGGTTACTGACAGAAAACTAGCTTAAACCATGTAATTACATACATACTAAAGGCCCCAGTTATAGCACAAATTTCTGGTTCCATAAATGTGATAAAATTTTTTTTAATGATTTCAATAGAAGACAGGCTGTTTAAAAAAATATAACATTAATAAAAGCTGTATTTTTATATAACATTTCTGAAGGCTTTCTTCATTTTGAAGGCTGTATTTTAAAACATTTAAAAAGATGGTACTTCCACTAACATTTCCCTCCTTATCAGTCTGTGGTGCAAGTTGAAACAAGTGCCTGAACAAAGTGAGCACCTCCAGACAGAGTGACGTCACCAGCACAGACACATCTAGTCTGTTTCTTAGAGAATCTTTGTGCTGACATGCTAGTCTGAAAAAAAAAAAAAAAAATAAATAAATAAAATAAATAAATAAATAAAAATATTAACCGTTTTATTTCCATGTTCTTCACTATGGGTAATACTGTGCTAGTTTATGATTTTTATTCATCTTTCAACTTGGTTTATAAATAATAATAATGCAGTGATTGCGAAAGAGATTGAAAACTTACCAGACATGTGGGCTGGAGCAAATTAAATTTTGTCAGCCCACACCTTTTTTTACCGGCCCACAACAAAATAATCAAGCTGTATATTTTCACTTCATTTTTGATGAATATTATTGTCTGGCATTTTAAATCGTTGCTTTTTAATTTTCAGGCCAGATGTAATAGGATGTTTAAAGGTTTAAGTTTAAACGTCTTTCATTTTGGTTGCTTTCTGGCATTTAAGTTTTATCCTTTTTACATCTGGGTTGCCTATCTTAATTTCTAATCTTTTAACACAAGATCATGTATCCTTTGTAAATTTTATTCCAATTTTTGACTTAAATTAAAACATAAGTCATAGTGAAGTGGAGCTTCCAACTTTTGTAACGTTTTTTAGATTTTCACTCTTGGAAAAATGCTTGTCTGTTAGCAGGGATTGTCCTGGGTCAAAATCTGGTCGGGCCATTTTGGCCCACTTGGTCAAAAAAAGNTGAAAAAAAAAAAAAAAAATAAATAAATAAAATAAATAAATAAATAAAAATATTAACCGTTTTATTTCCATGTTCTTCACTATGGGTAATACTGTGCTAGTTTATGATTTTTATTCATCTTTCAACTTGGTTTATAAATAATAATAATGTACAGGGACTTTCTGCTGACATAGTAGTTTGGAAATAAAACAGAGAAAGCTACATGGATTAAAATGATTGGTTTGTGATGTCATTAATTTCTTCAACACTCACTTTGACACTGCCTTCCACGTGGTGATGGTGATCTTGACGTCCAGGGTGTTTACAATAGCACATAATTCATGCAGATTGAGGAGAGCTGGAAAGTAGAATAAACCAATCATTTAGTCTGTACATAGTTAATATGGCCATTCTCAACTCCAGTATCAGGTGGATAGAAATGCACATGCTGATCAAGTGGAGGAAACTGAAATATTGAACAGTTCAAATAGAAATAGAAATGAAAAACGTTGTAATTGCCTTTCAAAGCAAATCTAAGTTGAAAAATTAAAAAATTTAAGCTAAGCTGCCTCTCACAAAATATCTATAAGGTCACTTCTCTCATTTTACTGACCTTTAACTAGGCCCCTACAGCAAGCTCTGATCGTCTTACCAATAACTTTACTCTCTCTGGTGACAGCAGTCCATGAAAAAATGTCTACTACATTTATGAGGAACCAATCATTCATAAAACACCCCTAGACAAATAAGGCAAAGTCCACCTCACAGAGTTAGCTATACCCTTTTCTGTCTAGGATCAGCCCACAACTATTGGGCTTTGTACAAAACCAACCTGATGTCTAACCTTACCAGCACAGAAATGCTCAATGTCTTCATCACTTGAGGTGGACCCCAGCACCACCTTATCAAGTAGGGATATGAAGCTCTGAAACGATATCCAATTTAAAGTTGGGACTTTATCTTGACTGAAACTTCACCCCACCCATCACCCAGTGTAAAAATAAATTTTCAGTTTTGTTAAAGACCTACAGGCAAATTTTAATTTAAAAAAACTATACTAAAAGCTCTCCTCTATTTAACATTTTGATAAAAAATAATAAAATAAGAAAGCATGTACCACATCCATATTTTCATGGTGACAAATATAATATCCATTACAAAAAGGCTGTGTAAATGTGGCAAAAAAAGGTAAGCTCTATACTTGGCTGCACATACCATCTGCAAGCTGTGTGTCTTCTTAAATATGGCAGACAAACCCTCTGACAGCATCCCCAGCAGGTCTCCATACACTGATGAACTGGTCTGAAGAAAATGATGTTTTATTTCTTTCCAAAATCAAAATTTTTTAAACTGCTAGCGACGTGGATTTTAGAAATGAGATATGTCACTGTGATCTTCTAGTTTTATAGTCCTGTTATCTATTCGACTAATTGTATGCAGAAATCTACTTTCCAATATACATTTATGTCTATGCTAAAATTTATATAAACACAGATGAAGTTTCATTTCTACATTAAGAAGTAGTTCCATCAAACTATGGAAATTGTCTTCAAAACAGCAGCATACACTCATGTAATTGATAAGCTGTCAATCTCTCAAAGTGTGCCAGTACGGACTATCACCCCATTTCCATAGATTTTTAGATCGATCTATCCCTGTGGGGAGTCTCACTAGATTACTGTCAGCTTGGCCGGCTTAAGCGTCTGTCCCGCCTACTAAAAGCTGTAAGGGGGTAATTAACTATGGTGCCCGCTCGGCTGACTGCAATTTAGCGTGAACCCCCAGGAAGTTAAGTCGATCTAAAACTTAATCCTTAGATCGATCTAAAGCTCTGGGAAAGCACCCTATGTCATTAAAGTATACTGCAAGATCTAGATCTACAAACCTTGCAGTGTTGATAAGACTCCTTTAAGATAGAGAGTACCACCTTGGAGAGAGACAAGAAACTAGAAATTTCAACTTCTGAATCGCCACACACACACTTTACACATTGCTCTATGCTGTCTATTAGAGTGGATGCCATCTGAAAACGGATATAAACTACATAAATAAAAAGAGTGAAAAATAATTTGATAATAAAAAAANTCCAGTATCAGGTGGATAGAAATGCACATGCTGATCAAGTGGAGGAAACTGAAATATTGAACAGTTCAAATAGAAATAGAAATGAAAAACGTTGTAATTGCCTTTCAAAGCAAATCTAAGTTGAAAAATTAAAAAATTTAAGCTAAGCTGCCTCTCACAAAATATCTATAAGGTCACTTCTCTCATTTTACTGACCTTTAACTAGGCCCCTACAGCAATCTCTGATCATCTTACCAATAACTTTACTCTCTCTGGTGACAGCAGTCCATGAAAAAATGTCTACTACATTTATGAGGAACCAATCATTCATAAAACACCCCTAGACAAATAAGGCAAAGTCCACCTCACAGAGTTAGCTATACCCTTTTCTGTCTAGGATCAGCCCACAACTATTGGGCTTTGTACAAAACCAACCTGATGTCTAACCTTACCAGCACAGAAATGCTCAATGTCTTCATCACTTGAGGTGGACCCCAGCACCACCTTATCAAGTAGGGATATGAAGCTCTGAAACGATATCCAATTTAAAGTTGGGACTTTATCTTGACTGAAACTTCACCCCACCCATCACCCAGTGTAAAAATAAATTTTCAGTTTTGTTAAAGACCTACAGGCAAATTTTAATTTAAAAAAACTATACTAAAAGCTCTCCTCTATTTAACATTTTGATAAAAAATAATAAAATAAGAAAGCATGTACCACATCCATATTTTCATGGTGACAAATATAATATCCATTACAAAAAGGCTGTGTAAATGTGGCAAAAAAGGTAAGCTCTATACTTGGCTGCACATACCATCTGCAAGCTGTGTGTCTTCTTAAATATGGCAGACAAACCCTCTGACAGCATCCCCAGCAGGTCTCCATACACTGATGAACTGGTCTGAAGAAAATGATGTTTTATTTCTTTCCAAAATCAAAATTTTTTAAACTGCTAGCGACGTGGATTTTAGAAATGAGATATGTCACTGTGATCTTCTAGTTTTATAGTCCTGTTATCTATTCGACTAATTGTATGCAGAAATCTACTTTCCAATATACATTTATGTCTATGCTAAAATTTATATAAACACAGATGAAGTTTCATTTCTACATTAAGAAGTAGTTCCATCAAACTATGGAAATTGTCTTCAAAACAGCAGCATACACTCATGTAATTGATAAGCTGTCAATCTCTCAAAGTGTGCCAGTACGGACTATCACCCCATTTCCATAGATTTTTAGATCGATCTATCCCTGTGGGGAGTCTCACTAGATTACTGTCAGCTTGGCCGGCTTAAGCATCTGTCCCGCCTACTAAAAGCTGTAAGGGGGTAATTAACTATGGTGCCCGCTCGGCTGACTGCAATTTAGCGTGAACCCCCAGGAAGTTAAGTCGATCTAAAACTTAATCCTTAGATCGATCTAAAGCTCTGGGAAAGCACCCTATGTCATTAAAGTATACTGCAAGATCTAGATCTACAAACCTTGCAGTGTTGATAAGACTCCTTTAAGATAGAGAGTACCACCTTGGAGAGAGACAAGAAACTAGAAATTTCAACTTCTGAATCGCCACACACACACTTTACACATTGCTCTATGCTGTCTATTAGAGTGGATGCCATCTGAAAACGAATATAAACTACATAAATAAAAAGAGTGAAAAATAATTTGATAATAAAAAAACTGAATAAATCAAAAATTAAACACTTTTACACACAAACTGTTCATCTTGAGATAAACTATTGAAAAAAAATAATAATTTATAGAACACACTCTCAAAAAGATCAAATAAATGAAATTATTTGAGATAAACAACCCCCATGGCTCTGGTATGACTGAACTGAGAAAGTTCAACACTAAGCCAAGTCCACTTTACCTCCAACTGCTGAGCAATTTCTTCCAAAATATCCCTGGAGTTGTTCTTAACCAGGCTCACAACATTTCCTAGAAGTCTGTGAAAACTCTCCTCCACCTGCAGTTGCCAAGAAAAAAAGATCAGATATACATATTCAATTTTGTAAGATTGTTTTGTGAATTTTACTTTTTGGAATTTTTACTGATTACCTGTTTAAAGAAATCATAAATTACAGAAAATGCCAAATCGTTATTAGGGTAATGTGCTTCTTTATATCTAATAAATATAAAATTCAAAATGATTTTCTCTGTAAAACATTACTTTATTTGCTATCTTGCTAAATACTTGTTTCTCCAGATCAGTGGAGGGAATGTGGGGGACCAAGGACTGGCAGAGCAACTTAAGGAGACCTGAAATAATCATTTAATACAGTAATTAGAGGTAATGCTGCACATTAAGCTGGCTATGAAATACAGCAATAAGAGTGAATCTGCACAATCAGCTGGCTATTGTATGCAGACACACAAAATGAATAAATAAGTAATTAAAAAAAATTAATGTTAAAAATATATAAAAGGGGTTAGAAATACATTTCTTTAAAATCTTCAAGACAATTTAAGATTGTTTCAATTAAAACACCAAACATTTGACATTATCATACCTATTTCCTTCAAACCATCTTCCACTGCAGAAAAACTGTTCTAAGAAACTTAAGGAAAACTGATATATTGGGCAAAATTTAAAATCATCAAGACTTCAGTATTGTTCTCATGCTACTCAATATATACTAGAAGGGATTTTATCTATTATACAACTGTGCATTTTATATTTGTGTTGTAGGTTAGAGAGCTTATAAATGTAAAACATTTTCGTGATCAATAAATCATTATTGTTATTATCATCATATAAACATCCAGTTTGAAGACCATGTGTAAGATAAATGTCTGCACTTGACATGTTCTACCCTCTTTAAATAAAATTTATTATTATTATTATTATTATTATTATTATTATTATTATTATTATTATTCCAATCCACCACTGAAAGGATACTAGGAGCTCTGGCAGCACCTCCTGCCATCTGGCCTGACATTCCGTCTCCCTCCACGTCCCAACCTCATCCAGCATGGAGCTTTGAGACATGATCTTTTGAGAAAAACCTTTTATCTGTTTGTTAGCAAATTCCTTTTAGAAAGGTTTCACTGAATACAAACAAAATGTGGTATCTTCATTTTATTTAACACAAACAGCCTTTTGTTGGTTGCTGTTTGTCTGACAAGATGAAAGCTGTTTGTCTGAAAAGATGAAACAAAAAAGTAAACAGACTATTATACTTTTAAAATGCAACTTAGGTGATTAAAATAATCAACCATCCATACTTGATAAATCAAGATTATTGACATTATATTTATTGTGCATTTCATTAATTTAAATGTATAAATAATAATAAACAACAAAACTAAGTGAATTATTTGACTGAAATTAATTTAAATTTCAAAGACACTGACGAAATTCAATTCTTAAGTTAACTGAATTTGCAAATACCATGAAAATCTAAGACAAAAAGTTGTAGATTTGGGGGGAGACAACTGCAGTCCACACACTTCCCATATCCTCACCTTTACGTTTTAACCACTGCATGGTTTGTGCAGCTCATTAACAGACATAACGACAGTGACACCATGTTTATCCCATCAAAATTAATATGATCGACTGTACAAAGGAATACATTAGGAATCGTTTTAACAAAAAATCGCAAATCCTAAGATGTTAGATTTCCCGCAAGCATCCCATCATACAGCTGGAACGCATGCGCCTTACGCTACTTCCGGCAACCTGTTCACACGCGGAAGAGGTAAGCATCATTTCTATTGTTATTTTCCTCTCCCCGAACCCCGCTGACAGCCCCCGTGACGATCTTATCGCGCCTAAATTACATAATTAGTGCCTGTTAGAAGCCCATTCACAGCTGGTCTAGCTCCTACACGTGATTATCGGTCAACTACGGGCACCGGCTCGTAACAAGCCTTCTGTGGTTAGGAAATTAGGTCAGTGAAATCAATAAATAGACCCCCTTTCTTGGTCTATTGAACCGATTACGTCTAGCCGTTTTAGACTCACTGGAGCGAAAGCAATCCCCATCAGCCGGTATATCACCGTTGCGTAACATGCTGTAACTCGGCTGTGTAATACCTGACGGAAAGGCGGGCAGTGTTTAGAACTTGAGTTTTTGTTTGTTTTTGTTGGAGGCGGGAAATGAATAATGTAACTTCATTCAATATTCTGTTGTCAAATATTGCTTTCATTAGTATACGCTGCATTGTGTGAATGTTAAAAAGTCAATATTATATACATGAACTACAAATTCAGAAATATCAAAGAGAGCCCAAGGGATCCAGCCTGTAAATGCTAGATTCTTCCATTCATTTATCTACAACTTAAAAATACATAAATTAAGTGTTAATCAATAATGCATGCAATATAGTTTTAAAAAAAATAAATTATATTTTTTATTGTTTTGTATTAAAATTATTTCATGTGCGTTTGCATGCATTTACATGCAGTGGACCTCTCACATGATAAGTGTAAAGGGCTCTTGACAAATTTCTTGAGTCAGGAAATGCTATTTCCCAGATTTAAAGGGCTTCAGAAGTCCTTCCATCTTTTAGGGCTTTACCTGAGATGATAAGCTTTTGATCTATCTAGCAGAGAACTGTAATTATTGCTTTGATCATGTTTGGCTTTGAATGGGGGTCTTGACACTTCTGAATACACTAAGGAGTATGGCTGCCTAACTGAAGTCAAGCACATGTTCAATTCACCAGATGTATAAAATGTATTACTGAGTATCTACCAGTATACAGATAAAAGAATGCAGGCAGATTAAAGCAAATGCTTTCAGATTTTTATTAGATTTTTTTCCCCAAGCATACATTGATATAAATAGCTTATAATTACAATTTCTAAGTGTATTTTTGGCCATGCTTTGGAATATTTTGTTTTAGGAGAATAAAAACTTAAAGGTACATGTATGCATTTGAACCATGCACTAGTTCAGGGC